CAGGGGCATTTATCTAAAAGGACTTGGAAGTCTGATTAGACAAGATGCATGAGCTACCTGTGGAGAAGGATCTCAGCTTGTAATTCCAATACAGTGTAAAGGGATTCTGGAGTTTTAAAAAAAAATCCTGGATTCCAATTTCAACTCTCCATTTAATTCTTCGGTGTTAATATTCTGGGTTGTTTTCTTTAGTCAGTCACTAGTGACTGCAACATAGTAGTACCTATTGCTAGTCTGGGATGATGTCACTGTGGATGTGGTATTTTTTAACTATACCAGGGAAGTCAAATAGTACAGGTTTGAGTTAAAGATGAGAAAGAAAAAATAGCATGGCTGTTTAGTGATCTAAAGACATGACTGCAAATTTTCTAGGTATTTCTCTTAAGTTCTGAGGAAGCTCTATTGCCTAAAGCCACTCTTTGCTGAACAGGAACCACTTAGAAGCAAGCAACAGACCTAACCAGGACCTAGGAGGGGCCTGTAGTTTCTGCCCACTTCCAGAAGTTTCCTTCTGCTGGTTCAATTTTAAAAGAAGACACAACCCTTCTCTGCTTTCCTAAAACAGTTGTGTGGTTTGTGCCAAGGATGTGTGTGGGATTGGTTCTTTCTACCTTCTCCATGTGCTCTAAGGGTTGAACTCTGGGTTGTGTGACAAATATCTTTACCCAATGAGCAATTTGCCAAACTTATCCATGTTCTTGTAAACATTTTGTCTGTTTCCTGCATGCCACAGGATAAGTCTGTGGCAGACAGAGGACAATTTGGGGGAGTGGTTCTCTCCTCACACTCGGTGGTTCTGGGATTAATCTCAGATCTGTAGGCCTGCTTGTCGGCCAGTGCTCTGCCTCCAATCATCTCAACAGCGCTCACGCTTGGATTTCTAATGAGGTTCTTAAGTGGGTGAGGAGGCAGACTTGTGGAGAACAGTCAGTCTTTTTAGGAAAAAACATTACTTTATGAATGTTTAACCTGCATGTATGCATGTATGTGCACCATGGGCATGACTGGTCTTATGTAGGTCAGAAGGAAGCCTCATATCTCTTGGGATTAGAGTTGCAGGTGACAGTGAGCTAACCCAGAGGGGCACTGGAATCTGATTTTGATCCTCTGGTATAGTAGTAAGCACTTTTTTCTTTTCTTTTTTGGTCTTTCAAGACAGGGTTTTTCTCTGTGTAGTTCCAGCTGTCCTGGAATTCGCTCTGTAGACCAGGCTGGCCTTGAACTCAGAGATGCACCTGCCTCTGCCTCTGCCTGTGTGCTAGGATTAAAGGCATTACTGCCACCACCACTGGGGTGCAAGCATTCTTGCACTGAACTTATCTCTCCAGCTGTTTGGTTTTTGTTTGTTTGTGAGACCAGGTCTGTAACCCAGCTGTCCTGGAACTCACAGAGTTCTCCAGTGCTGGAATTGAAGGCACGAACCGCCAAGCCTGGTTCCACATTAAAAACTCACTAGCAGTTTCATGCCCAGATCTGGTGCATTCTGGTCACACTTACCCATCCCACCTCTCCATCCAATCTTCACGTCTCAAGGGTTTGTTTTGTGACCCAATGGTTTGAACCAGAGCCTTGCTTGTGGGTATGAGCATGACACTATCCACCATAACTCAGCAGTGGGTGTTTCGTCTTTGAGACAAGGTCTCAATGACCCTGGAGTTTATCTGGTCAGCTAGACTGTCTAGCTGGCCAGAGGCTTCAGGAATCTGCCTGTCTTCGCTGCCCTAGTGCTGCACAACACTGTTCCAGGCGTCCATCCATTAGGCTTGTGCAGCAAGCACTTTACTGACTGAGCCCTCTCTCCCTCAGACCACTTCTGTTGCAGGAAGAGGCAGTTCAGATGAAGGTCCCCTGTGGTCCTGCAGGTGGAGCCCCCTGTGGCCCCTGCAGGTGGCCTCACCCAGCTGCACCTGAGTAGCAGATCGACATTTTCTACACCCTCCACAACAGGCAGGCTGTCAACATGCAACTCTAAAGAAGTCACATAAAAAGCTTTGTTACATGCCATTTTCCTAACAAAAACAACAGGAAAGTGTGCAAAATGAAGGGCTCAAAGAACTTTAATTATAAAGTCTTACATCTTTTAAGGAAATCCAAGCAAGGCAACCTCCTCTCTGTGATGTGTAGTTACCTGAGCATTTTAAATCACAGTCTAAGAAAGCCAGGGAACAGGCAAGTGTGCCAATCCCTGGATGACTTGATAGAAACACATACAGACATTTGAAAGTGCAAAGAGAAACTGAAAGGGTGGCGGCTGGAAACACCAATGATATTGCACTGAAGTAGTGAAAGAAATTTAGACCCCAAACATGAATTACCCTGAAAACATTTCAGGTAATTTCACCAGGTAAGTAAAAAGTGACAGACAGCGTTTGACTGAGACAGTCATTTAGAGTGAGAACTTGTAGGCAGATGAGTGGATGTCCTTTGGTGACAAAAATACCTGAATCTTAAAAGAGTTATTTAAATAACTTCTAAATTTAAATGCTTCTACACAGGTCACTGCTATCAATTGCTCAGTTGGCTTTAAATCACTTCGTCTGATCAATTACCCAAGCCCCTTCCCTCTTGACTCTGCTGTGGAACCCACCAAAGAGCAAAAGAAAAGGCAAATGCTCACTGTACTCCGTTTTTATTTTCAATGTAACATGCAGTAAGAAAAAACTGAACAGGATTGATTAGCATTTACAATGCTTACAGAGAAAAAAGATTAAAAGCAACTTAGTCTGGATTTTAAGGAAAAGCACTAATTAACACAAGAAATCTATTTCCAAATACTCACTTTGAACCAAAATGTGAGAGCATTTGGTAAATATTTATGTCTGCTGTTTAGTTGCATTATTTTATATAATCTCTGATTCTTGGGATATCCAGCCCCATTTTCCTAACACAGCAGGGAAGACATATATATGTGATCAATTAAATTAAAGGAAGAAATGGAGTTGGGAGACTCCAGGGCTGCAAAAATATATACAAGCATTTACCTTTTCCAGAACTAAACATTTCTTCCATAAAAATATTAAATAGCCAAGCCCTATAGAACTAGGGCCAGGACTACTTCAAATATAACTTCTGTATTTTAAAAATATAGGGCAGAAAGCCTTTTGGGTGATATTTATACATTTTCACATAATATCTCTAGGTCCCTAAATGAATCATGAAGCATTATGCAGAAACAACAAAGCCTATTTTCTTACATTATTTCTTAATTTAATCTCATAAATCACTATGGATATGGTAGATGACTACATTTTAGTACAAGAATTTGATCCGATGGGAGGTCTTTGTAGAAGGCTTAGTATTTATAACCATATATTAAAGTCCAAGCCTATGTAGTAAATGGGTAGTTGGCAGACATTCGCTCTGTAAGACAAAGCAATAGCATATATATATTTTAACCCTACCAACAAAAAGGCAGAGAGTTCCTACTCTGGAGATAACTAGGGCCTCTAGAGATGACTTGTGTTTCCTGTGGTATACAGGGTGAAGAAGAGGGCTGGGACAAGCTGGGCTTCCCTTCACTGACAGTTTCTAGATGAGGCAGCCCTTCCTCAGTCACTCGTGTCTCCGCTGACCACCGATGGCAGTGTTAGAGCACAGCTGCACAAGTTCAAGATGTTCCAGGGTGAGAACAACAAGAGCAGCTAGGGACAGAGAGACATTTTCCTTCCTATGGAACAGGGGTTTGTCACTCTGTATTCTTCGCTTCATGCTATGCTACCGAACGTGTTCAAAAGTCCCTGTTAAGAGTTATAAGGCTGTTTTGGGGATTTGGCTATAACAGAGACTCACATGGCTGAGGCTTCAGTTTACTACTCATTAAGTCCAATCTAGGCAGCAGCCATCTGGACAGTCTACGTAAAGCCAAGGGAAACTGAGTACAGAGACAGTCAAAGTGCATTCATCAGTTACTAAAGGAACAGTCCGAAATAAACACGTCATGAAGAAGCAAAATCTAATGTTTTTAGGGGTGAGGAAAATACTGCAGATCAGGACCATGAGAGAATGGGAGCGCCTGTTCCCAAACGTGGCTGAAGTAGAAAGACAGCACAAATGTGCTGATGGACTCTGTCCTTTACTGATAGTGTCCTAGACCTCTATTTGGATTAGAAATGGTTGCAACTCGAATACCTTAGCATTAATGAAATGTTAACTGGGGTGTTGGGTTATGATAAAACCATAAAGCTTCAATTTCTGTGTAAGACTTAAAAATCAACAATGATCTTAGATGAATTCATCAAAATTAATTTTAATTTTAGGTTAACTTCTAAAATGTGAAGGAACCACAGTGCTGATACTGTTTGTAAAGTTTAGTATTTGCAAGGCAATAAAATAATTATAAACTGAATGAGGAGAGGTATGAAGTCATATGTCGATGGGGATCAAGGTTTCCCTGAATTCAAATAGACAAAACTATTTTGTAGAAAGGTGTGAGTCCTGCGTCACCTCCAGGAATAACTTCAGAGTGACGCACTGGTTCATGCTCCAGGGATGAAAACAACAGTCAGGCCAGGCTGAAATGAGAGGGAGAGCACAAGCGGCAGTTGCTCAAGTGCCGACGCGGGGCTGAGCTTGCACTGTTGTTGAGCACCTCCTAGCTAGAGGCTTTACCAGGAAGACCTTGTGTATTGCAGCTTTGGAGATGTCCCTGTGTGTCTGCAGAATCTTTACAACAGCCACCAAGAGACCTACTCCCAAGTGGGACTTTGACACCACAGAAAACTGTTGTTAAGGGAACAATCTAGTGGAATAAGACAAGGGAGATTTCATCGCTGTGTTAAATCTCATGTTAAGTAAGTTTCTGACTACTGTTTGTAGATCTGCTTTCTGGAGACGTCGAGCAGAAACCCAGAATCACTGGCAGATAAATCTCAACGGTAACATTGCTCTACTTACACTCAGATAACTCTCTAGTCACAGTCCAAGTTTACAATTAGATGTGCAACAGGCAGAGAAGGAAGGACAGGCACTGAAGATGAGTCCCTGTATTCTGGTGGCCTAAGGTCTCAACAGTTACTCTTGTCCAAATCCTTCTGTTTCTTCAATGGCAAATAACAGCTTTTCCTTCAGTTGCTCATAGCTCTTGTAGGGTGGGAGGTCCAGGCGGTTGAAACTGAAAATAAGAATTGTTGGCTTAAGAAAAGGAAGGATACAAAGACAGACATGGGCAGTGTCCAGCAGAAACACTGTGAAGTTCTGACAATGTGGGCTTGAATCAGGACCTTTGAGGAACTGATTTCAACCTTTCCTAGATTCTCTCAAGTGCCTTCTCTGTAAACCAGATAGCAACACACAGCTCAGAGTCAGAGCTGCACACAGCTCAGTGCCAATGCTCAGCAAATAACAATCTGCTCATGCTGCCCCAACTGCCATTCTAGATCAGTGGTCACAAACTTACTGTAACGGCCAAAAAGAAATACTTTAGACTTTGCAGGCTATAAAAGGTTTTAGGTATATTATGTTAGAATAAGAAATGATAGGCCAGGTGTGGTGGTACACCCCTTTAATCCCAGCACTCAGGAGGCAGAGGCAGGCTGATCTCTGAGTTTGAGGCCACCTGGTTTACATAGTGAGACCCTGTCTCAACATAAACAATATAAACAAATATAAGAAAATGACTCTCTAATACTTCACTCCCTCTACATTTCTCTGTTCTATTCTTAGCTGGGAATTTCTCCAGCCCAGCTTTAAGATTTTTAAGCACTGTCTTTTTTTGTTTGTGTTCCTACAGGTGTGAGACAAACAATTCCACCCTTAAAAAAAACCCAAGGAACTATTTATATTATTGTCAAATATAAGTTATTCTATTTTTTAACGTGTGTTTTGTTTACCTATATATCTATGAACTGCATGTGTGCCTAGAGCCCATGGAGGCCATAAGAGTGAACCAGATCTCTTGGATGTGGTTACAGTTGGTTGTCAGCCATCATGTGGGTGCTGGGAATAAAACCCAGGTCATTTGCAAGAGCAGCTAGGTCCATAAATAGTTGGGCATGATACCCTATGTCTATAATTTCAGTATTTGGTATTAGAGGCAGGATAAACAGGAATTCAAAGCTAGCCTAGGCTTCATGAGACCTTGTCTCAAAAACCAAGTCACATAAAAATATGTACAATTATTTTGTGTCAAAAGTAGTACGGAGGTGCTGGGCATTGGTGGCACACTCCTTTAGTCCCAGCACTCGGGAGGCAGAGACAATCGGATGTCTGTGAATTCAAGGCCAACCTGGTCTATGGAGCAAATTCCAGGGCAGGCTCCAAAACAATACAGAGAAACCCGGTCTCAAAGAAACAAAAAAGAAATAGGGAGGTTGAGGCTGTGGCTCAACAAAATGTTAGCCTAACAAAAATGTAGGTGCTGGCTTTGTTCCCTAATGTCACACGCAACACACAGTTGGTTAAATAAAAGGAAGAAAAAGATAATATGTACTGTAACACATCATTTAGAGTAAAATAAGCCAGGTAGAGAAGGACCTGATTCCACACTGAGAAAGGACCCGAATTAATCAAAAGTCCTAGAGATGAAAAGGATGTTGGTCACTAAGAGCTGGAGAGTGGAAGTGTGTTTTTAGTGACACGTCAGCCAACAGATGACAGGGATGCCTGCATAACCATGTGAACCTATTTAAAAACACTGAGCTACACACACCTGAAAAAGGTTAAAATCTAAATGTGACTACCACAAACTGAATTCCAACATGAACTGTATTTGAGGTTAACACTGGTTGCTTTTTAGTTTGGGAAAACAAGGTCTGGGGATATAGCTCTGTTATAGAGGGCTGCTTGGTATGTGAAAGGCGCTGGCTGGGCTCAATTCCTGGTACTGCAAAAAGAAAATCAAAAAGAGCAATAATTCTGTTCACCACATTACTAAGTAGGATACAAATATTCTAAATCCCATGTTAATACTTTAAGAGGTAGAAAAACTAATGCATGGTAAATGGGCACAAAAGGGATCATCTTGAAGGCAAGGCTCTAAAACAACTTTAGGCCTGTAAAGCTTTATCATGGATCAAAATTTGCAGGTTTGTAATCCCAGCACTTGGGAAGCAGAGGCAGGAAGATCAGGAGTTCAAGGGCAGCTTGGGCTATGAGATCATGTCTCAGTAAAAGGGGGGGGGGGGAGACACTGTTGAGATGGCTCAGTGGTTATGAGCTCTTATTGCTCTTCCAGAGGACCCAGGGTTCAATTCCCAGCACCTGAATCAGGTGGCTCACATCTGTAAGTTACACACGGTCACATACACTCATTCAGCGACACATACAAATAAAAATAAACCATCTTTTAAATGGGGGAAGGAATTTACTTTGTGAGAAATAAAATCTACCTCAGTAAAACTGTTAAGATATGGAGAAATTATTTCATTTCTATTCATTTCATTCTATTTCATTTCTAGCTAGAGGCTAAGTTGATAAAAGTTTATTTTGTATATTTCTCATTTTGCTTACCAAGTATGGCTTCTGGGTAACCAATTTTCTTTCCCAACTTTCTCAATGCAGAACTTCTGTGGTCCATTACTCCCTAAAGCACAGTAAAAGCATAAAGAAATTGTTGATTTAAAAGCTCTTAAATTATGCATCCCAGTTAAGCAGCAGCATTGCGATTCAGAATCCTGGACGCACACACAGACCTGTCCTAAACCTACTGCATCAACAACTCCAGAGGCAGGAGATTAGTGCACATTTTACCAAGATCCTGCCTCTGTTACAAGTGGTGAAATTCAAGAATCATTTTGTTAATGTATACTAAGAAGAAACCCTGCAGCTCTATATATCATTCCTTAGCTAGAATGGCACAATGCCCTGATTAATAGCCCACATAAGAAGACACAAATATCTAATTGTTGGAACTCTACTCATGTAAACAGCCAGCAAATTCAGTGTAAGGCCTCTGCTCACAGGTCCTGCACAGCTAACCTTGGACACACTCACCCTCCATGATGCTTGCCTCCTGGCTCCTGTTAGATGCAGCTGTGGTGCTCATCAGCACCAAGAACAGCTTTATTAAAGGACACTCCTGCTCCCTAGGAAGCACTCGATGGTGGTCAAAATGACTGGTAGTGGGTGCTGCTCGCCTTATTCTAAGTGTAAGGGGCACCCGGGCACAGAGCTCCTGTGTCCTAATGAGTAGGCCCAGAACAACAGAGATGGGTAGTTCTTTATGTCCCACATTCACAGGTATTTGCACATGAAATCCAGAAGGATAAGGGAACAAAGATGGTTATGAACAAGAACTGTTCAAAATGTTCTATACTAAAGACACATTTATTCCCTTTGCATGCTCCCTTCTATTCATTTCAATATTTCTTCCCCACTTCCCTCTTTTGATTTTTGAACAGTCTTTGTGTAGCCCTGGCTGACCTAGAACTCTCTGTAGATCAGGTTGGCTTTGAACTCACAGAGATTCATCTGCCTCTCCTCTCAAGTGATGGAACTAACGGCTCATTACAGTATTTGAACCACAGAATAAGCAGTCAATGATGTCAATTAACATGTAATAGAGAAGACTGTGAAATACAATAGAATCTCATGTGCCATATGTGTAGGGTAAAAAGGGCTAATGAAAAACACCCTGGCCCTGAGACCAAAGCCAAGGAAACACATGCTGTTCCTAACCAATTCAGGGACTGAAATCCAACCAATTCCTCAGCACAAAAACCAACTAATCTCAATCCTCACTCTGAAAACCTCCACCTTGTTAAGCTCCACCCCTAAGAAACCCTATATAAGGCCTGTACCTGTTCAGTTTGGGGCTACCCTTTTCCACCCTGGCAGAGGCAGCTACTCTCATGGATTCTTCCCTCCCAATAAATCTAAAGTGAGGTTTGTTTATAGTGACTTTCTTTCCCTGGGGCAGAGCAGAACTCTAACACTGTGTCTGGGGAAGCTTTCCCTTGCTGGAGCAGAACTGTTATACTCTGGGGAAGCTGAGCAGGGCTGTAACACTTCTGAGCAGAGCAAAGCAGAGGAAAGGAGAGGAGAGCACAGGAGGGGAGGGGAGAGGAGAGGGGAGGAGGGGAGGGGAGAAAAGAAGAGAGCAGAGCTCTAACAACCCAGTTGGGGAAACCCTCCCCTGCTGGATGGAGCAGAGCTGTTATACTGACATTAGAGAAACTGTTCCCAGAGCAAGGACCCAACTTCCCCCAGCCCCTTGCCAGAACAGAGCTGTAACACTTCTGTTGGGATACCTTTCCCTTCCAAGTTATAGGTATCCCTTGGCTTCCCACTGCCACGGTAGCTTTCCCTTCAGAGCTGTAACACAATATGACCATCACCATGACTGTATTCTCAAATTAGATGATGTAATAATACACTGAACTACAGGCCTGAAGCCTACAGTTCAGGTCAAAGTCAGCCTCTCCTACAGTTGAGGTCAGCCCTAGCTACCTGTTAAAGAAAAGAAGGGAAGAGAAAAAGATGGGAAAGAATCTAACTGTACAAGTAACATGCTTAAATTCTTTTTAGGTAGCCTCTTGCTTTTACTCTTACCTGACACTGTCCCTTAATTATATAACTTCCATGTAGACTCCTGCATCCACATTGCTATTTTTAATTTTATTTTTTATATTTTAATTTTTAACTTTATGTGCATGGTGTAAAGGTATCAGATCACTGAGAACTGGGTTATAGACAGTTATAAGCTGTCATGTGGGTGCTGGGAATTGAACCCTGGTCTTCTAGAAGAACAGCCAGTGCTCTTAACTATGGACCTATCTCTCAAGCACCTGTACAACTATCTTTAGTTGCTTTTTTTAAAATAAAAATATTTTAATGGTTTATTCTTATTTTATGTGCATTGGTATTTTGCCTGCATTTATGTCTGCATGAGGGTATCAAATTTTCTGGAACTAGAGCTAGAGACCGTGGGAGCTGCCATGTGGGTGCTAAGAATTGAACCCAGGTTTTCTGGAAGAGCAGCCAGTGCTCTTAACCACTAAGCCACCTGTCCAGCTCCTAAGATATATGCTTTGACACTAGTTTACTTCCTTTTAGGGATAAAATCCAGGATCTCATGCATGTTCAACAAGGGCTATACCATCAGCCTGATATTACACTTTTAAATAAGGTCCATTTTTATTTTTCCTCAAATTGATATTTTATAGTTTACTTAGCAAGTGTACTATTATCCTACTGAATTTAGCTTATTCCTTTTCTTTTCTTTTTTGTTTTTTAAGACAGGGTTCTTCTGTGTAAGACCTGTGCTGTCCTGGAATTCACTCTGTAGACCAGACTGGCCTTGAACTCACACACTTGGCTTCTTTTATTTTGAAGCTGGGTATTATGTAGTTCAGGTTGGCCTCAATCGTCCTATGTAGCTAAGGTAGTTAAAGGATGACTTGACTTCTGATCCTTCTACCTATACCTCCCAAGTCATGCAATTACAGGCATTTGCCAACATATCCAACTATTTCTCATCTTTTCTATATGCTTTATGATTTTCCAGTGCTTAGAGAGGATTTATTCTTGAACTCAAATATATTCTTAAAAATAGGAACAATTGGTACTGAAGAGATGGCTCAGTGGTTAAGAGCACTGGCTGTTCTTCTAAAGGACCAGGGTTCAATTCCTGGCACCCACATGACAGCTCACAACGGTCTGTAACTCCAGTTCCAAGATCTGACATTCTCACACAAGCATACACGCAGGCAAAACATCAATGCATATAAAAAATAAAAGAAAAATTAAAAGAAAAAAAAAGTAGTCCTCTTTCACCCCAAAATAGGTATTTGTCTGTTTAAATATATCTTCTACTACAGCACTTTATCAAACATACATATGGAGGTATGAGGCCAGGAATTCAGGGTTATCCTTGGCTACATAGTGAATCTGAAGCCATTCTAGGGGTCATGAGACCCCATCTTAAAAAAACAGGGAGGGAGGAAGAGGGAACTAGGATCAATATGTAAAATAAGAAAAAAGTAATAATAAAAAAAAAAAAAAAAAGGAAAAAATACACTGAGGCAAGAAATAAAAAGTCAACTCCAAGTCCACAAAATGCAGGTCAACTGTGGCTGGTTAAGAACAACTACACCTGTCTGTTGCTTCTGATAAGTTACACACACAATCATCCAAGGACAGTAAGGTTAACAGCCTTCTCTATGGAAAAGGACCTTTATACATACCCATGAGGTCAGCAAATCCTCCCACCGGCAATCGGCAGGTTCCAGTAACAAACTGCAGAAGTCTCATCCTCTTCTCGTTATCAATTTCTTTAACAAACTGTAAACATCATATTCAAGGAGAAATTTAAGTCTTGTTATATACAGCTCACTGAACAAGAAAAGAAAATGGTCACTTCAAATCTTAAATGAACTTGGGGTGCCAGCAACACTAGACAGTAAATTTACCCATGCCCATCAAAGCCTCAGCATCCTCCTTTACTCAGGATGAGAATCTCTGAAGGCTCTTGGCTCTGTTTTTCTAGGGCAGCCTTTCCTGTTCCCCTTAGACTTGTCTGTCCTATAGCACATTCCTGTGGTCACTCAGGACACAAAGGTCTAGTATGACAAATCAAATCACGCTTATGAAATGCAACAACCTCTTTCCTCAATATCTTGGTATATAGTTGAGAATGTCCTTACACTCCTAAGTGCTAGGATTATAGGCATGAGTGACCAATCTGGTTTCTTGTCAATTCAAGACAGGGTTTCTCTGTGTGTAGCCATGGCTCTTGGAACTTACTCTGTAGATCAGGCTGGCCTTGAACTCAGAGATCTGCCTGCCTCTCCCTCCCAAGTGCTGGGATTAAAGGTGTGTGCCACCATGCCTAACTAGTGTTTGTTTCTTAACATGAATTTTGTTACGTGTATAGAGGACATTAAAATTTTTTTAAAATTATGTTAAGTGACCAATGAGATGGCTCAGTGGACAAGGTGCTTGGCACCAAGCCTGATGATAAAGTTCAATCCTCAGGAGCCACTTGTTCTCTGAGTCCATATGCAAACCATGCCATATATGTACACACACAATAAACAAACAAATAAATATAAGATTAAGGTAAAATAAACCTAACAAAACTTGCCCTGTTGTTTCTGTGGGGTATATATACTGATCATGTGAGTGTGCACACCTGTTATTTCTGTGGGGTATGTATCCTGGCCATGTGAGTGTGCACCTTTGTTATTTCTGTGGGGTATGTATACTGGTCATGTGAGTATGCACATGTGTACTCAGATGAGAATGCATGTGTGGAGGCTACAGGGCAATCCTAGATATCTTCCTCAATGGCTCTCCACCTAATCTTCTGTGTCTGTTCAAACAGTCTCTCACGGAACCTGTAGCTTGTCCTCTCAGCTACACTAGATGGCTAGTACATCTCAGGGACGCTCATGTCTCTGCCTCCACAGCTCTGGCACCCAGGTGTATGCTGCTGTGCCCAGCTTTCTGTATGTGCTGTATGTATGTATGTGTATGTCTGTTCATCCATTAAAATGCAGATAGGTTAATTTTGCCTTTGGGTGAGCTGGAACAACACTACTATAAATACTGGCATGCAGCAATATCTGCTTGGGTCTCTGGGTTTAATTCTAGTAAAACTGGAAATCATGTATGTTAACTGTATATTTAAACTATTCTTGTTTTTTTTTTTTTTTTTTGTTTTTTTGTTTTGTTTTGTTTTGTTTTGCTTTAGCTGGGGGGGTGGGGTATGGGGTTTCAATACAAGATTTCTGTGTAGCTTTGGCTGTCCTGGAACTCATTCTGTAAACCAGGCTGGCCTTGATTCAAGAAAGCCACTTGCCTCTCTGCCTTCTGAGTGCTGGGAATAAAGGCATGCACCTCCACTGCCAGGCTCTTGTTTTTAAGACAAGATCTCATGAGGTTGGCCTTCAGCTCCTGATCAATCCTCTTGCCTCCCGCATGGTATTACAGGGATATGGCTACCATGCCTGGCTACTTTTAACTTTTTTGGTAAGCTGCCACACTTTTTCCCATTATTGCAGTATATAACTCTTAACAGAAATGAATGAAGGTTTCAAGTTTTCCACATTCTCATCAAAGGGTATGTTTCTCCTATTTCCTAATGTGTACAAAATACTATCTAGCTGGGGTTTGAATTTGTAGATCCTTAAGAATCAAACATTTCTGAGCACTAGTTACTTATTTTTATTTATTTTCAAGATTATTTTTATTTTTAATTATGTACAGGTGAGTGTGTCTACATGTAGGTGCTTGTGGAGGCCAGAGGCATTAGATACCCTGGAACTTTTGAGTCACAATAGGTACTACGAACCAAACTTGGTTCCTCTAGAACAACAGCAAGTGTTTTTAGCCACTGAGCCATCTCTCCAGACCCTATTTATTTTTTGAATTACTTGTTTTTGTGTGATTGTGTGTGAATGTGTTGATACTGAGTGCATATGAAAGCCAGAGGACAAATTCCACAGTTTGTACTCTCATTCTATCAGGGGAGTCCTAGGGAATCAAGCTTAGGTCATCATCTTTGCTGACAAGTGCCCTGGCCCACTAAGCCATCTTGCCACCAGTCCCAATTAAATAAGAAAAGGAAAATAAGTAACATTTTAAGTGTGTATGTGCCTGAGTTCATGTATATGTACCACATGTGTGCAAGTGTCCACGAAGGATGGAAGAGAATGTCAGGTCCCCTGAAATTGGTGGCACACAGCTGTGAACACCAATGTGGATATTGAAGATCAAACCTGGGTCCTTCGCAAGAGTACCAAGTACTCTACATTACCAGGCCCTCGCTCCAGCCCATTTTATTTTAAGATGTAATTGCATTTTATTCATTGAGAGTGTGCACAGGAGGGCCCAGTGCATGTGGAGGACAGAGGACAACTTTCAGAAGCTGCTTGTGTCCTGAAATCCAGGGTTCAAACTCAGGTCAGCAGAGCTGGCAGCAGGGACCTGTATGGGCTAAGCATCTCATCTCTTTAGCCCTCAATCTTATGCTTTTAGTTTGCTGGTAGTGGTGATGGTATGTACATGCTGGACACCTATGTTCACAGGTGTGCATGAATATCTGAGTATGTGTTTAGGTCAGAGGTCAATGTTACAAATTTTCCTCTATCATTCTCCAGCTTTTTTTTTTTTTTTTTTTTTTTTTTTTGCCTATGGTCTCTCACAGAACCTGGAGCACACTTACTGGCTAAAGTGGCCACTGAGGCCCCAGCATCTCCTATCTGTGCTCCCCAGCACTGAAGTTTGAAGCACGTCTCTGGGCCCGGCTTTTTCCCATGTGGATGCTGTATATCCAAACTCAGGTACTTGTGCTTCCGTAGTAAGCACTTTATTGGCCGAATAGCCCGGACAGCAAGCATTTTTTGAGAGCTCTCCTTATAACCCTTAAGCCAGATCTACTAAATCTGCCTTCCAAACATTACATAATTCTTAACGAAGGAGTAATGATCAAAACTATACTTTATAGTTCCATAAGATTCCAAAAGTATTGATGTAAAATATAAGTGAATCTTTCTTTTTTACAATTTTGTTAGACTTCTTACTGTATGTGCAGGAAGTGGTTTAACCTGCATGTATGTATGTACAGCACACACGGTATGGATGGTTGTGAGCCATCATGTGATGCTGGGAAACACTGCAAAAACAAGCTCTTTACCAATGAACGATCTCTCTAGCCCTACATGAATAAATCGTATCTTCTGAAATTAGCTTATACCTGGCAAAGGTACAAGGAACATGTTACTCATTAACAGTCTTTAGAGGATTCTGTAAAAATCATGCTCACTTGTTATAACATATTACTGTAATGCACAGCATAGGACAAAAATTCACATTTTGTTGTGTCACTTATTTGTGGTAAATTCTTAAAAAAAAAAAAAATGAAATACAACGTATGCTGTGTCTGTCCATAGAAATAAATTTAGAAACAAACCTGCCAAAACCACATGATCTGTTTGCTAGTCCTAGTGTAGTGACGATAGATGGCATGTCTTTGCCAGTCATTCAAATCAATCTCTTGCATTCCACACAAAAGGACCTACATGAATAAAACAAAGCAAGTTTAGGTAACTTTAGGTAACCAAAAATGTTTCACATAAATAAGACTAACATGAAACATAGTGATTGAAGATACACTAAGAAAGCCTCAGTAAACTCTATACCCTCAGTCCTAGCCATGTGACTCAGAGTCCTAGTCACATGACTCAGGGAGGGTACATATTGAGGGAAACAGTTACTGAATTGCAGAAAAACCTAATATCAAGACTTTTTAAAAGGAGTTTTTCAGTTTTGTTTTTGGTTTTATGAGTCAGGGTTTCTCTGTATTTCTTTGGAGCCTGCCCTTGAGCTAGCTCTGTAGACCAGGCTGGCCTTGAACTCACAGAAATCCACCAACCTTTGCCTCCTGCATGCTGGGATTAAAGGCATGTGCCACCAACACCCAGCTAAAAAGAGTTTTAAAAAATATTATTGACTTATTTTACAAGTTCGGATATTTAACTACATTAGTGTTTGTGTACTTCTAGATAGCCTGGTACCCTCAGATCTGGGAATTGAACTCAGGTCCTCTGGAAAAACAGGTAGAGCACACAACCCTTAGTCACCTCTCCAGGAACAATAGTTTTGTTTTGTTTTGAGGTAATGATCTTTTTTTGTTTCAGAATAAATTAAGGGTGTTTCAAACAACTGCTATCATAAAAATATACATTCCACAGAAAGATGAAAATACTAGTTTTAAAATAGATACCCGAGGGCATTTACTAGGTGTTGGAGTAAAGAAAAACTCATTACCTCTAATTCCTTTGCATCAAAATATTGTAAATATTGCTGGGGAAGAATTTCATTAAAGCCCTCAAAGAAAGCTTGTGTCTGTTCTTCAACACCTCGAGACAATCTCCACTCGGCTACCATCCTGGCAAATAAGAATGGAAATTGTATTAGGAAGTTAAGATTTTTAAGTTCTGCATATAAAATTAAAAATGTAAATGTTATTCTAAAACCCTGAAATATACACAAAACTTAGAGTACCATGAACACCTTGTTTTGAAAGAGAGCCTCACAATGTAACCCAGGCTGTCCTGTAACTCATTATGTAGCCCAGCCTGGCTTCAAGCTCAAGGCAATCTTCCTGCCTCAGCTTCCCAATGGCTATGATAACAGGTATGCACCACTATGCCATGTATGAAAATATGTTTTTGAGGAAATTACTTTCTTCCTTTTTTTTTTTTTTTTTTTTGGTTTTTCAAGACAGAGTTTCTCTGTATTGCCCTGGAGCCTGTCCTAGAACTCGCTCAGTAGACCAGGCTGGCCTTGAACTCACAGAGATCTCTCTGCCTCTCTCTCTCTCTGCCTCTACCTCTGCCCCTCTGCGCCTCTGCCCCTGCCTCTCTGCCTCCCAAGTGCTGGTGCTAAAGGCATGCACCACCACCGCCTGGCTTTTAAAAAAAAATTTTTAACAAGCAAACAAAGGTGTATATTTTAGTTATCTGAGTTCTTGACAATAACTACCCAACAATAGAAGCAAATATGTGCAAAAGACAGACTACATACTGGCTTATAACACAAGTTTCAAAACAAAATGTCATTTTAAAGAATATTCTCTGACTAAAAAGTATCAAATTTGAAAAACAAGAAAAAAAAAGATTGGGTAAAGGTGCTTGATTGGCACATTAAGGGCTTTGCTTTTGTTTTTTAGCCTATTTGATGTATTACTTATGAGGTACCCCCAAAACAAACACACACACACACACACACACACACACACACACACACACGCCTAATGAGCTTTCCTTGTTTTAGGCAACTCTCTCACGGTTTAGGCTTGTCTAGAATTTGCTCTATAGACAAAGATGACTTTGAACTTTTTCTCTTTGCCTAACAAGTGCTAGGACTGCAGGTATATGCCATGATGCCTGAAACAAATTAAACCTCTTAGGAAAAAAAAAAAAAAAAAATGAGCCTGCGATGGTGGCTCATGCCTTTGATTTCAAGCACTCAGGAGGCAGAGGCAGGAGGATCTCTGAATTTGAGGCCAGCCTGGTCTACACGGTGAGTTTTAGGAAAACCAGGGCTACACAGAGAAACACTGTCTAGAAAAAAAACAAAAATAAGAACCAAAATATGCTATGTAAAAGGGGATATCCATGCTAGGATTGGTGGTGCCAGCTTTTAATCCCAGCACTGGGAAAGCAGGAAAGGGTAGATCTCTATGAACTTCATTCAGATCAGCCTGAACTGCATAATAAGATCTATGCTAGCCATGGCTACATAGACCCTTTCTCAAACAAATAAACAAACAAACAAATAAATAAATAAATCGCCATGGCTTTCTACTTTTAAAATCCTATTTTTAGGCTGACACAAGAAATGAAAAATGACTGTTTACAAAAAAGTGCTACCATAAAAGCAAACAATATTTTAATAATTATTATCAGGCAATCATTAACAAAAAGGCTAAATTCTGTCAAAGGAACATTGTCTTATTTTCTAAAAAAGATGAATGTTTATTTTTGTGTGTGTGTGTTGTATATGCCACGTGTGTTAGTTTCCAGAGTACAGAAAATATTGATCCCCTGGAGCTAGAGTTCCAGATGGTTGTGAGCAGTCTGATACCGGTGTTATGAACAAACTTAGGGTCCTCTGGAAGAAAAGCAAGTACTGTTCACTGTTGAGCTACCCCCCCCCCCCCCGTAACCCTCCTCTTGCCTCTTTTTAGGGACACTGTCTCTTACCTGATGTATTCCTCCTTATTTTCTTCTGTCACAAGAATATTGCCACCATTGGGTTTCAAATCATGACTCTTAATTTCACCTAGAATTTCTTTATCAACAGAGAAGTACATTTCCAAACCACATTCTTCAATATTGTTTTCTCTGCACAAATTAAATTGGAATTATCTGTTATATACACAGCTCAATCATAATTCAAAAGTTTTAATTAAATTCAACTTCTGAATTTAAGTAATAAGCCTTAAATTATGACAACAAATTCAAAGAAATAGCGTATTATTATCATATTACCTAAGACTCTGGGTACACTTCTATAAAACTTATCATACTAAACATGAGAAAGGTTTGATGTCCATATCATTTAAATTCAATAAAACAATGACATGATTACAATGTGGAAGAATTTACCAGCACCATAATGAAAGCACACCATCTGTATTTTAATACATATAGAAAGAAACTTACTTAACCCAGATGAGAGAATTGTAAAATTCTGGATCAATAGATTCCAAATCCTTAAGTCCAACTGGTTTGTTCAAGATACGTTTATAGAATGGTAAAGAGAACCCAGTATCTATGAACTTTCCATGGAATAGAGCCTATACAGGAAGAAAGCAATAACGTTTAAGATAACTGCATAAAAGTCATTAAACATCAAAACATTAGATAAATTTTCCATTCAAAAAATTGTTGAGGCTGGGTGTGGTGGCACATGTCTTTATAGTAGCACTCCAAAGCCAAGGTAGGCAGATCTCCATGAACTGGAAAGAAGCCTGGTCTACACTGTTGATAGTCAAGGCATATGCTTGAACACATGTGAGTGTGCGCGCACATAATGAAGACCTCACTTCTCTAAAACCTTCATAGCTAGAGAGATGGCTCCACATTTAAGAGTACTTGCTGCTCTTCCAGAGGACCCAGCTTTAATTCCCAGCACCCTCATGGTGGCTCACTACTGTCTGTAACTCAAGTACCAGAGGATCTCATTCCTCTCCTGGCCTCCACAGACACCAGGCATGCACATGGTGCTCAGACATACATGCAGGCAAAACACCCAGACAGATAAAAATAAATAAAAATGTAAAATTCTGTTGCAATGGACAGTAATGGCACATGCCTTTAATCATAACACTGAGGAGGCAGAGGCAGGTGGATCTTCTTAAGTTCGAGGCCAGCCTGGTCTACAGAGTGAGTTCCAAGACAGCCAGGGCTGCATAGAGAAACCCTTCTCAAAAATCAAAAAGAAAAGGGGAATGGGAGGGGAAATTCTGTCACACAATCTGCTATAATACACAAAAATTTAGTATTGCTGAATGATTAAATGCAGTTTTGCACCTGTACTTACCATGGCAATAAATCTGCCGATAAATCGGAAATATTTCAGGTGGTCTGGATTGATGTAAGAAGCGGGGTTTATCTGCAGACAGTAGTTATCCTTCCCTGCATATTCAAACAGGCAATACATTGGGTTCAACACTTCATGTGACAAAAGAAAGAACCATTCTCTGAAATCAAAAGAAAACTCAGGATGAAAAGTCTTGTAGGAAACCATGTCAACAAATCACAGAGCAGCATTATATTACAGATTTGTCAGGAACCTGCCTGCCTCAACTACAATGTTTTTCTAATTTTGTATTGATTTTTCTTGGTTCTGTTCAAACTACATTATGTTATACAGGATATTTATATGCTCTCAAATTTCAAATGATTTAAGATATCATTAACTTTAAAGGCCCTTACTTGATTGCCCTCTAAAATTTTTCTAATCACAATCATAATATGCACCCTAACTCCAAAGATATGAAAATGTGAAAATTGTTAGTTGATAAAATTTTATAGACAGACAAGTTTAAAATTTACTATTGGTGCAGGTAATTAGAGCAGCTGAATTACAATTCCCATTCCATCTTCAATTAAGTCTCATAGTGTACTTAAGGAGCGGCACTATGGCAAATACCTCATTTTCACAGGGAAAGTACCTATTCCAGCCATTCATCTATTAGAATAATGCCCTGAGAAGTTCATTCTTGCTGTGACAGAGGGAAGGAGAGAGGGAGCGGGGACAGGCACGTAAATTTGGAAGTCAAAGTTGATTCTCTTTCTACCTTTATGGGGATTCTGGGGACTGAACTCTGGTCCACAGGTTTGTGCAACAATCATCTCACCAGCCTTCCTGAAGCTATAATCTAAGTGACTTGAAAACACCAACATAAGATTATGTCACTATGTAACATGGATGGGTCTATCTGGTCCAATAACTATGCAATCGGCATGTATCCTAGACCTCTTGTCTTGTTAGCACACAACATTTGATGAGAATATTAACACTGCTGGGCATTCTTCTGATTATGACCATGATTTGGCTGTCTCCTGAATGATCTAAGTGTGCATATTTATTACTTGAGATTACGTCATGTATTTTCAAATAGTTTAACTACATTTTAGAATTTATTAAGCTATAAAAAAAATTACTCAGGCTAGAGATGGCTCAGTGGTTAAGAACACAGTCTGCTCTTCCAGAGGACTGGAGTTCAGCTCCCAGCACCATATCAGGCAGCTCATAGCTGGCTGTAATTCTTGCCCAAAGGATATGATGCTGTCTTCTGGACTCTTTAAGCACTGTATGCATATGGCATATGTATAACAACTTACCCCACACACGTGTACATACATAATTACAAATAAAATCTTGAGGGAAAAAAAAAAAAAAGAGTGACTAGTAAGATGTACTCACTCACCAGTTAACAGAAACAAAGATTTATTTAAAAAAAAAAAAAATCTTTACATTGTTAAAAAAAAAAACAAAAAACAAAAACAGTATTTTCAGCCAGACATGGTGGCACACACCTTTAATGCCAGCATTCAGAAGGATCAGGCAAAAACAGGAGGATCTCTGTGAGTTCAAGACAGTCAGGGCTATACTGGCTGCTCTTTCAGAGGACCTGGATTTAGTTTCCAGTACCTACATGATGGCTTACAGCTGTCTGTGACTCCAGTTCCAGGAAACCAACACCCTCTTCTGACCAAGAGCACCAGGTAAAAACATGCACACAGGCAAAAACTCATGCACATGAAAAATATTAATAAATCTAAAGAATTTTAAAAACAAAAAACCCAAAATATATCTACCCTTCATAGTAATCCTAGAAACACAGATACTTGCTCAAAATAAAAAAAAAAAAATAAAAAAAAAAAAAAAAAAAAATTCAAGCTGTCTTTCCTTAAAATTCTTGCCCTTCCACACTGCTACGACTTTGTAATTTATTTTTATTTTATTTTATGTTAGAAAAGATTCATGTAGCCCAGGCTAGACTTGAACTTTAGCTCCTCCCTACTTCTACCTCCCAAGTGCTGGGATTAGTCATGTGCTACCACACACAGCTTAAAATTTTATTACCTACTTAGTTTTAAATATATTTTTCTTTTATTGTTTATTATCATCGTATGTGTGCTGCATGTGAGTGTATTCGGGTATATGTATCTATGTATGTATGTGCAGATCATAGTACACAAAGGCCACAGTGTGCATGAGGAGGTTACACGACAGTTTTGGGAAACTGATTTCTCTCCTTCTCCTGTAGGTTTTGGTAACTACACTCAAATTGCAGGTTGTATAGAAAACAGTTATCCACTGAGCCATCTTGTGACCCTAGTTAATAACTTTTTATTTTATTTTGTTTGGTGTTTTTGAGACAGGGTTTCTTTGTAGTTTTGGAGTCTGTCCAGGAACTAGCTCTGTAGAGCAGACTGGCCTGAAACTCACAGAGATCCACCTGCCTCTGCCTTCTAGTCCTGGGATTAAAGGTGTGCACCACTTCTGCCTGGCCCTAGTTTAAAATTTTAAACTGGTGTAATACTGTCATGGGATAAGCAAAGCTATCTCTTGCTCAAGGATGTTTTCTAGAGTCTGAATGGTTGCTCCAAAACTAATAGAGCAGAACAAAGATTCAGCTCTTTTCTCATAGTCCTCTATGTTCTCAACACTAAGTTAATCCTAGGTAGGAACTGAGTCGCTATCAACTTTCTCAGTACTCTAGTGAGGAGGAAATGACTTGAACACACCACAGGGCTCTAGGTAATACATGGAACAGATAGAAGTTGGTTGACTGACACTAGTTACTGATCAGAAAATGAAAAGTTACACCTGGCTATAACTTATGTGCCCTAGATGAATCTCTAAACCTCATCTGTAAAATCCTATCCCACGGGGTTACTCTGAGGACCATGTGATTGATGTAGGTGTCATCAACTAGCAGTTCTTAGAAAATAGGCACTAAGTTAATGTTTGTTGAAAGTCTGTGGTGCATAATGAAGCTATAATAATTTTCCATATGTCATTTTCCTGAAACATTAGATTGAGAAAATAACACTGTGAACAAAGTGTAATGATACCTTTGGAGGAAAGGACTAAGTTCTGAGTATTCATATATCACTACCTTGCTACACCTCCATAATCTAAACCTTCTTCTCCTGGGAAAATCACCCACAAACGTCTTCTCAGATCTTGCGGGCTGAAGCTCATTATCTACAAAACAATAAAGTGAGAGAACTGTAACTGCAATTGTGGAAACATCACTGTCACTTCCTACTTACTCCATTCCACATGAAATAGAATGTTTACATTTATAGAAACACATAGTAATGTTTCATATACTTATATAAGCATCTGTTTTTTTATATACATTATACACTTTTACATGAAACTTACGAGTTGTTCTATTAATTGTGTAGTGTACAAAGTAACTCTAGGCACAGTCACAGATTGGGTGTTTTCCTCCTCTTCCTCCCGGTTTGGTTTTGTTTCACAGTCAAAAGATACATATACTAACTAACTGACTTAACAGTGGCTGCAGACATCTTTGGAAATACACACAAAGGAAGTCTATAATTATACAGAAAACCTACTCTTTGCCTTCCACAATGGGTGGATAACAGTGTCATCTTCAGATGTGAAGGGCAGCAGTGTTACAAAGCTACAGTATATAGGTCAATCTGTTTCTCCCTCAGTAAAATTATTTAGTTACTTCTGCTTAGGAGAATCCCACAGGGACTTGCAAGGGATAGTTTGATATGATGTCTATACTTTATCACGTGATAAGGATAAACTGTTAATAAATACACAAAGAGGATTGGTAAGTTCTCTCCATTCCCTATGAAAGAGACATGGACACTCAAACAGCACACCCAGGTCTAACAAAAAAGTTCAGTGTTTGTAACTGCATGGTTATGATAAATACCCTACACTGCCATGAGCTCAGCACTCAGCTACAAACCTGAGAGATGTCACAAGGTTACAACTAGTTTGAACAGTTCCCTTTAACAAATGCTAAAGGAAAGGGACTTTTTGCCTTCTACACATTCCACCACAAACAGTTGTACTATGCTAACAAAAAACACCATTTAAAGCAATTTTATCCACCATCTATGAAGAAAGCCTGTTGCTAACTTTTAAGTTACACCTTATTTTGATACTAGATTTATTACCTTTAAGCAACCATATTTTCTCTTACATTATAACTGCCCATTTATTTGGTGTATGTCAAATCTAAGACAAGACTTTTAAATGTTTTAGTACATCATCATGTCACTGCAAAAGCCTTTGGTTGTAAGAGCACAGAGATAAAAGGTTTGTTTAATCACGATCTGTATCTTGTCACTACAGCTACTAGGGAGCTAATTTTCTTAAAAAAAGTGACATAAGAACAATCACAAGTATGAGGACTAGGAATGAATAAGCCATTGGCTGAGAATGGCCATGGAGGTTTACATCAGGCCATAGGTATAAACAGAATTCTCTAAGTGCCTCAGTTAATCGCCAAGGTCCACTCTCTGTTCCAATGTAGCAGAATGTCAACCGACTTTTCTCTTGAATGTTAATAACAGAGGTTCCATTCAAAAAGGAACAAAACTCTTCCTGAAATGAAGCAGCCAGGTAAGGCCAATGGCTCCAACCTCTCTTCCTGTGCATACAGTTCAGTGCTTAGGAAACCACCTATCACAATATACTGCCGGTGCCATCCACAGAATGTTTTTTTATTCTAACACAATCTAACACTTAATTGCAGTTGGCTTGAGGGTGATGTCTACAGTATTAAGATAAATAGTGAACTGACTCACTCACAGATGGAAATGAAAACTTAGATACCAATGGCTAATTTCTTTCCTACTTAAAATACATTATTTCTAAGAGAAACAAATGTTTATCATAAAAATCCAAAGTTAATACAAAAGTGTAAAAACAAAATCTTTCTTCATCTCCCTGCCCATTACAAGTTCACATGGCTATTTCCAGACCTCCTTCTAGTGACAGACTATATTTCTATCTGTGTATCATTTCCGATCACACACTTAGTTAGCAGCTTAGACATAGAACTTCAAACTCAGTAATAATTTACAATGGAAAGCAGAAAACACTGCACAAGGGCACTTGCACACTCCTAACGACGACGTACTAAGATAGCTGGCAACAAAATTAAACTGAAAAATCAAGAATAGAGGCTGAGGAGATGGCTAAGGAATAAAGTGCTTCCTGTGCAAGCTTGAGGACCTATGGTCAAATCTCTAGCAACCCACATGGGAGCCTAGTGGTGACAGTGCATTCCTGTAACCCCAGCTCCAGAGGAGCAAATACAGTCAGATCCTAAGGGTTTGCTAGCTAGCTGCTCTAGTCCAAATGTCAGCTCCAGGTTCAGTGAGGTGCCCTGTCTCAAAATAGAAGGTAGAGAGTGATGGGGCAAGACACCTGAAATACCTCTGGCCTCCACACTTGTACTTGCATGCACATAAGTGTGCATGAGCCACACAAACACATTCACTCTAACTTAAGAAGTTATAAGCTAAACGATTGAGAGCAAACCATCAGTACCAGAAGGTAGTCATTACTGAGATAATACCTGTTGAAAGGAATCCTCAAACAATGTTTTTCTTGTCACTGTGATCTTTATATGCTGTGGCATGGCCAGTTGCTGAAATATAAGAATAATTTTTTAAAAAATGTTATTTAAAAAATTATTTTTCATTTTATATACCAACCTCAGTTCCCCTTCTCTCCCCTGCTCCCCCATGTAAGAATAAAGTCAATTCTCACCATTAAAATGGCCTAAAAAGAAATTTTTACTTAATCTTTGCAAATGAAAACAGATTTTGAATATGAATTTATACCATGATTGCCAACACACCTATCAGCATTCATGTTGATTCTTTTCGATGAGAGTAAAAAGAAAATCAGATCTCATATGTAAAGTATTTATTTAAAAACTCAAGTAAGTCAGATTTTCAAATTTAATTCAGAATTATGTTTCCCAGTCAATTACAAAAATTTGAATTTAAGAATTTAACATAATAGTTCAATTAATGCACTCATTTTATTTAGAACCCATACAGAAAATCATTTATATAGACATCAGAAAAAATCACTGAATATATGTTTGTATGTAAATGATCATATGTGTACTTATCAAAGACAGTTCCATCAAACATTCAACATGGAGTTTTATGCCTGAGGCAAACACCTATAATTGCAGCACTCAGGAGGCTGACATGGGAGGATTTTAAATTCAAAGCCAGTGTGGGCTATTTAGATTGTCCTGTCTCAAACACACACACACACACACACACACACACACTAGATCTACTAGAGAGGTAAGTGGCCAACTGCAATCTGTTTGTCAGAAAATACTTTGTTTCAAGATTTATGCAACTTGAAAACAATAGGTACTGAAGAAAAAGTCATATTTTCTCATTCAAATGATTTCTAGCTCAATCTGTTGAACAACAGAAGATATAATTATCTAATTGATAAATATATTTCATAGTCCTAAAAATGGATGACTCCAATGCTTCACATTTTTCTTCTTAATACGCATTTGCAGAACTGCTGTATAACATAAGCAATGTAAAAAAAGGAAAGAGATAAAGAGACACAAAGCCAACACTAACCTGACACCAGAACCGGAAATACTGAACCTTTGCTTTGAAGTCCCTCACATAGGCTATTTGAGGTCCATTGTCTCTGAAAAACAAATGCAATTGCTTGTAAAAAGGAATGCTACAGGAAAGCAAACACAGCCACTCCCCACCCCTGTTGCAACCCATTACTCAGCAGACAAGTACAAAGGCACCAGGCAGAACATATTCCTAATAAAACTCTTTTTCTGTTTTGAATGTTTCCTCAGGACTATTTTTAAGTAAAATCTTGTTGAAGCCACTGCTAGGGGAGCTTTTTCTATGTGCAGGTGGATATAATAGAGCTGGATAAAAGAGTTCCCACAAAAATGTCACCCATCACATCTACTACTCTATCCTTTTGTCTTTAACTGAGACTCACGGTCAACCAAGTGAATGCTACCTAGGACAGACATTTCCTAGTGTGTTTATGAGACTTCAGGTCTGTCTAAGGAGCTCTAATGACAAGTGCTGTAGGGGCTTTCAACAAATCAATTTTTAAAAGAGAAAGGATGTCGGGTTCAGGATTTTACTGTTCCCCATTCCAGTGTAGCCTTTCTCCAAATGAAAAAGCACAATGACGATGGAAGCCTATGTTTGGCTGTTTAAATGTGGAATTACATCTGATTCTGTACCCTGCAATCTTGGAAATATTACAAGCTCTAGTAGTTTTCTCTATATTCCTTTTAACTTTCACTACATATGATTCTTAAAAAATAGCCTTACTTCCTCCTCTCCAGCCTGTCTCTTCTACACTTGATTGCCAGTACGATGCTGAGTGGCAGTAATGCTGATAGGCACCCTTGCTCTTGTAGGGGAATTAGTTGTCTGTAATTTTGTAGGTAAGAACATTTCCAAGGCAGGTGAAAGTGGATCATAAAATTGCTTTGTAGTTCAATAAAAGCTTTTACTAAAAGATTATGACTTCTTTTAAAAGGTGTGTGTGTGTGTGTGTGTTGGCCTATAGGGTGTATATGTAAAAGGTATGTGTGGGGGGGTGTGGTGGGTGTGGGTGTTGGCCTGAATGTGTGTATATGTAAAAGGTAGGTGTGTATGTGTGTGTATGTATGTGTATGTGTTGGCCTGTATGTGTGTCTGTATACCATGTGAATGCCTGATGCCCAATGAGGCCTGAGAAGGCACTGGATACCCTGGAACTACATTTACAGATTGTTTTTTGATGCTATGTGGATGACAGGAACTGAACTAGAATCCTTTCCATGAGCAACAAGTGCTATTAACTACTAAGACACTGCTCCAGCCACTGATCATACCATGTTTCTCTGCTAGTCTATACCATGGTGCTCTAGTGTCAGAGGACAACTTGTGTGAGTCAGTTATCTCCTTCAGCTATGTGGGTCCCAGATCTCAAATTCAGATCCTCAGACTTGGCAATAGGTGCCTTTACCCACTGAGTCCTTTTGTGTCATCTCTCTCTCTCTCTCTCTCTCTCTCTCTCTCTCTCTCTCTCTCTCTCGCTATGTATGTATGTATGTATGTATGTATGTATGTGTGTGTATGTATGTATATATGTATATATGTATATATGTATGTATATGTATATATGTATGTATGTATGTTTCTTGAGATACAGTTTCTCTGTATAACAGTTCTATCTGTCCTCACGATGTACACCAGGCTGGTCTCAAACTCACAGATCCATCCACTTGCCTTTTGCCTCCCTAGTGCTGGTATTAAAGGCATGTACTACTACATCCAGCTTAGTGCCCCACTTTTAATTATTATTTAGAGTATATTTCTACTAACATAAAAAGTTCAGCCAAGTACAATGACATACACTTTTCAATACTAGCACTTATGCAACAGAGGCAGATACCTCTGTAAATTCAAGGCCAACCCGGTCTACACTGCCAGGTTTACATAGTCAGACTGCATCAAAAGAAAAGAAAAAAAAAAAGAAAAGAAAAGAAACAAAGTAGTTTACTATGAAGCGGCCATATTATACAGGCTAAACATCACACACTTTGTGCTTACTATATATTCTTGATTACATCATTTTTTTTTCCAGCGCTTTATTTAATCGTGTGTTTTGTTCACCACAATTTTAGGAATACTAGGTCATATCTAGGCTAAGTGTACATGACATATAGTCTAGACAAACAGCAGGTTTAATTCATCTACACTTGTGAAAGCATAGTCTTCAATGCTTATACAATGGTGCATTTCTCATAATATATCAAGTGACTCCTGCCAATATATAAAAGACTCCAAGGCTGAACATGGTAGTACACCTCTTTAATACCAGTAGAAGCAAAGGCAGATGATCTCTGTTAAGCTCAAGGCCAGCCTGGTCTACAGAGTGAATTCTAGGTCAGAGCTAGAGCTAGTCAGAGGGAACCTGTTCCCCACCTTGCCCAGCACCCAAATAAACAAACAAAACCAATCAGATTCAGTATTCAGAGACATATGGATAAGCCATCTCAAGTACACCTCCAGTCTTTGCTTACTGAAATCTTTGTCAAAATCTAAGAAATATGTTGTGCTTTTAACTAGTAATGTTTAGAAAACTTACAGGGCAGATTTTCCTGTTCGTGGATCTATGTAAGTGGTTGTTCTTTTATTGTGGTCCACAAAATACGGAATTCCATCCACTGTAAATCTCATTTCCCAGCCTTCTGGTAAGGGTTTTTCATTTAACTGACTATAAAATACAGAGGAAAGTATAAACAAAATATATTAAAGACTTGCTTCTTTGCCAAAAACAGAAACTATAAATACCTGTAAACAGAATAAAATCTTTCAGAAAACCTACATGGTCCTATATTTTCAGATAATAGATAGCTCTACTCAGGCATTCTACAAACACATTAAAGTCATCAACAACAACATTAAAAATGAATCATCATCATCATATTACTCTGCCATCTACTTAATAACTCACCTCAAATAGCCATGGTACCAAACTCCCCCATTCTTCCTTTGAAGTCTTTCTACTCGACCCTTCTTTGTTTCCCATCATTACTCTCTGGTCTTCATCTAAACTTTCTGAACAGATACCTACATGGTCTGCTGCTCCTAGTCTCACTCAGACCTATGTAATGATCTTGTTGACAGAGCATCTCCCTAAAACAGACCTCTCATCAACTCAGTTTCTCTTTTAGACTCCCTCTCAGGAATCCTGAAATTTCTCCTCTCCAGTGATCATGTTCCCAAACAAGTCACATCTGTAACAGTTCTGAATGACATCTTCCCCCATTGACAAATCTATTTTTTCTGTTAAGGCAAATTAAAAGTTTGTTATGAAATATCCCTATCTTCTTCCTTAACATCTATCTTTATACCCTGAAAACTCTGGGCTGCCTTCTTTAAACTTCAGGCTTTTTATCCATAAATTGCAGAGAACAGCCAGATATGATGGTACATGCCTTTAATCTCAGTACCCAGGAGGCAGGGGCAGGGGCACAGGGGCCCATGGGAGGGCAGGAAGGCTAGGAAGAGTAGGGCAGAGAATGAGGCAGAGGGAGTCAAAGAGAGAGAAGCAGAGGGGGAGCCAGGGGGAACAGAGAGACAGGGTCAGAGAGACATGAGTGGAGAGGGGCAGAGATGGAGAGGCAGACGGGAAGAGGTGAAGGTAGAGGGAGAGCTAAAAACTGGGCTATTCTTTCCCCGCTTCACCCCCCCCCCCCCCCCGCGTTTTATAGCTTCAAGACTGGTATGAAGAAACAGTGGAAATATTCAAGTTTATATCACAAAGGAAGAAAAACAGATCTGGAGATATTCAAGCTCACTATTTAGAGAAACATTATTAGTTTGGACTGTTGTTTTCCTCAAGTATACTTTAGAAGAACACTGCCTTAAATCATATTTTACAAACTATCAAAATGTTAAGAATATTTATTTTAGTCTTATTCATATAATTCCATACAAATGGCAGGGAAGACTAACCAAAAATAAAAAAAGGTATTTCACTTCCATTGTGATTATAGTTGCTAGATAAGCTCAATAACCAGTTGTTTTTGAAAACAAACTAAAGACAAATTGGCATATGGTATTGGTGAATTATCCTAAGCTACTCAAACAATGGAAAAATGCATTAAAGGGTATAAGCACCTCTTTTTAAATAAATATTTTAAATGAGTGAAGTGGTAGAACTTGGTCACTTGTGACATCTCATAAAATGACTATAATTTAAGCTCTAAAACTTTATCAAGTCCAAAAGGGACAAAACAACAGCAACAACAAGGGACAGAAAGGTGACTTGTTCAGTTTATCTTGAAAGAGAAGTCATTCCTCCTTCCTGACCCAGGGATGCTGGAGGTCAAAGCCATGGATATGATGCTAGACATCAAATGTTGACATCATGCATGTTAGACAAGCACTGTATCGCTGAGCTTCATGTGCAGCCCAGAGACAATTTCACTGGGGAATCAAATGTTTTATCCTTAAAGCTCTTCATCATCCTATTTAAGATAATATAATAGTTATATAAGAAAATTGATATTGCTGGACTTATAAACAGGTATTTTAAATTCAAATCATACCTTAAAAAACATAAGCTAAGCTATTTGCCAGGTGGTGATGGCATACACCTTTAATGCCAGCATTTGGGAAGCAGAAGCAGATGAATCTCTGAGTTTGGGACCAGCCTGTTCTACAGAGTGACTTTCAGGCCAGCAGGAGCTGCACGGAGAGACCTTGCCTCAGAAAACAAGACAAGGAAGAGGAGGAAGTGGAGGAGATGTTAGTGTAGGAGGGCTGGAGTGCCCCTTTTCCTGGTTGTCAGAGGACTATAGTCTGCTGACACCTTGGTTTCTCACTTCCAGCTTCCAGAACTCTTAAGACTGTAAGTTTTTGTTTAAAAACAGAAACAGACAATCCCTCCCTTTCCCCTCTCCCCTCCCACCCCCTCTCTCTCTCAGACAGTGTCTCACTATGAAGCCCTGGGTGGCCTCAAACTCATAGACATGTCTCTGCCTCCCAAGCGCTGGGATTAAAGGTGTGCATTACTACTCCTGGCCTGAGAATTTGCTTGAGTAGTATTCTTTTCTTAACAAGGTCTTAGCTAACTTTAGTGCACAGAATGACATAAATCATTGTATACTGTCATCAAAGCATTAAAAAGGCAAACTTGTAATATCTCTTGGTATGTTAACCAGCAAGTTCTCACAATATAATATAACATATAACATATAAACATATTTTAAGATGTCTACAACAACCACAGAGTTTTGTTTTGTTTTGTTTTTAACCAAAGTATTTTTTTTTTTTTTTTTAGTTCTGTAATTTTACTGGTGTAGAAAAAAGAAAACCAGTGAGTTGTGCCAACTTGTTCCCACCTCATTCTCATTAAACCCAAGCTTTTCATTACAGGAAAGTAATACTTTTTTTTTCTTCCAAGGTATGTAGGTAATTAGTGTTTGAGGTTTTTAAGGAAAGAATACACAAATGAGTCAAAAACAGATAGGCAATGTCTAGAAGTCATACATACAATGAAGTTCTTACCCTTGACTTCTGGGGTCTTCCCACTGTGTAATTCGAGTGTTGTGGTTGACAAAATACATTCTGCCATTGCTATCAGTTCTCTTCTCTTTATTATAAACAAAATGAAAAACAGTGTTAATGTTGGAATAGTCTTTTCCTCTCAAACTCTGACCATACAGTGACTACTGATTTTATAATTACTGTATCATATCACACATACAAAAGCTTAGCCTTTGAACATATGCCCGTTTTCCATCTCACTAGCCCATTTACACTTTTAAGAGTGCTTTTTTTTCTTAATGAAGTTATTAAGTATCATTTCTGAGCTGGGAGAGATGGCTTAGCAGTTAAGAGCACTTATGCTCTTCTAGAAGATGTAAGTTCAGTTCGCAGCTAGTTCACAACCATCTGTTACTCAAGGACACCTGAATTTATGTGCACAGACACACATAATTAAAAACATTTTTTAATTAAATAAAATTTCTAAGATGGTAAAAAAGGTTTAATTCATAACACCCTGTTCATATATAGATCTCTCAGTTATTTAGCATTTTACAAATGACATCTGGCTTTGTGTGTTAAAGTTGGTATGACTTAGGGTATTATGAGTACTAGGTAAGTAATTTATGCCTGAGGTACTTCTTTAGCTCTATCTCACATAAACACAGAAGGTAAATACAGCTTTTGTAGGCAAGCTTTGCTATAACAGTGACAAAGCTCACAACTCAGATTTCTGAGACCAAGAAGTGGTTTTTCCCTGTAGATGCTTCAAGAGTAAAACTGGTCTGTTAATAATCATCACCATAAAAATAAGTCATAGTTCTTTCGTCATAAAATGAAGGGTAAGGGCTGGAAAGATGACTTAGTGGTTAAGAGAACTGGCTACTCTTACAAAGATCCTGAGTTCATTCCCAGCACCCATGTGGTGGCTCACAACTCCCGTTCCAAACCTGATGCCCTCTTGTGTGGGGACCAGGCATACACATGGTATACAGATACATATGCAGGCAAAACGCCCATACACATAAAAGAAAAATATACATAAATCTTAAAACCTAAAGTGTGGACAGGGTATAAATATATAACCCTCTATATTCTTTCAGTGAGTGTACAAAACATACACAGAATGATTGTAGAAACAAAGCACATAATCTATGTCCAGGAATGCAATCTGACAGGTTCAACACCTAAATGCCACACCCCCTTTTCTAAAGCATTTTGTTGTTGTTTTGTTCTGTTTTAGATCAACCATGCTCTAACCCTTCTACTACCCTGACCACCAAAACTCCACCTCTGAACTACCAGGCTTTGGAGGAGACAAGAACAACTTTCATATATCCTCTCTGACATGATATGATGACAAGTTCTAAATACAGCTTAATATGTTTTGTTTTAACCTTCTTTGCTCAGAGAAGTAGTTTATTTTGTTTTGTTTCTTGGTGGTGTATACACTTGTTTATACCAAATGGATGTGATGTGCAGGTACAAGCACATTTATGCATACACATAGGGAGTTCAAAGGACAACCTCAGGTGTGTTCCTCCTCAGGCACTATTTACCTTGGTTTTTTGAGACAAGAGTCTCTCATTATTCTAGGATTCACTTGATTCAGCTAACCTGGTCAGCCAGCAAACTCAGGGATCCTCTCAAATATTTCTAAGATTATATGTGTTTGCCAACACACAGTAAACTCAGCTTCTCATGCTCGAACAGCAACAACTTTACTGAAATCCCTCTGCCTTTATTTGGTTGAGTCATATTTTCTGACAGCTTAGGCTGGTTTTAAACTCATTGTATAGCCAAGGCTGGACCAGAACTCCTGATCCTTTAACCTCTAACTCCCAGGCCCTGGAATTACATCATACTGGGTTATCACGAAAATGTTTTGAGCATTGCTGTGGAATAATCCTTTTGTACACTGTGAACATGTGTTGTTCTCATTGTTAATAAAAAGCTGATTGGCCAATGGCTAGGCAGGATTTTGGGGATTTGGGGGACAGAGAGAATGCTGGGGAGAAGAAGTGCAGAGTTGGTGGAGAAACCATGAGATGCAGATCAAGCAAGATGAGAAGTGTGTAGATGAGGTAAACAGCCTCAGGGCAGCACGTAGATTAATAGAAATGGGTTAACTTAAGTTATGAGCTAGCTAAAAAAGTGAGCCTGCACTATCACCCAAGCATTTATAATTAATATTAAGTCTCTGTGCTTATTTGGGGAGCAGCTGGCAGGCCAAAGTTGATCAGCAGTCTAGATGGAAAACTCTGCCTACATAGCATACATGATTTTAAGGAAAAAACAATGGGATTTTTTTCAAAATAGATTATATACGTACCACCATGTCTGGCTTCCCTAAGTTTTGAGACAAGTCTCTCGCTAAACCTGGAGGTCACCAATCCGACTAGGCTAACTGACCAAATGAGCTTCAGGGAGCTTGAGGAATCCTCAACACTCATGGGACTGCAGACATGTGCTACCACACCTGGCTTTTTACCTGGGTTCTGGGAATTCGGTTTAAGATCTTCTTGTTAGCATGGCCAATACCTTTCTGACTTGAGCCATTTCCCCAACATATCCTCTTAATTATACAGGATCTGTTTCAAGTATTCGGTAATAGTAATAGAAACTGGAGCCACAAGAGTAATATGATTATTGCAATCCTATGAAACTGATTCTCTTCTCTAAGCACCAGCATCATTGAGGTCCTTCCAGATTATTGTTATCAATAATCTGGTTTTTTTACCTTTGCAGCGCTACTGACTCAATTCAGAGCTCTGCCCATGCTTCACAAATATTCCGTCTATCCACTGTGCAGCCAGCCTGCTGCACATCTTCTAAAATAACAGACTTTAAATTAAAACTGATATGCTTACCCCATCCAGGGGGCAGAGGACCAAGAGGATCAAATTCTTTATTTTGTGATGTAGCAAACAAATCTTGATTCTATAAAGAATAAAAAAAATGAATAATCAGACAAGTAATTCACAACATAAATAGATCATTTTAGAGCAAAAGGATAAATTCCAGTTTGGCGTCACAGCTTAGAAAAGTTCTATTTTTGGTTAAAAAAAAAAAAAAAAACCTTTGGAAAACCCTATGTAATATTACCTAACACTTAAAGTTATGTAAAATTAAGATATTATATAAACTATATAAATTCTTATCTGCGAATTACTAGTTTTTCCCTTGTGCTACAGAGTTTCCTCTACTAGGAACATGACAATTAGACAGTCATATATCCCCCTTCAAATCATTTATAAAACTAGTATCTGGAGTAATCAGATAGCTCAGAAAAGTCTTGTATACTCAAAACCAAAAGTTCACACATATAGAAGAGAGTTGGGAGTAGACAGACAACAACAAAACACCATCAAGGCAATGAAATGCATGTCTATTTCACTTAAAAAGTAAATGATTCCTGGTGCCGTTAAGTAGCTCATCCAAAATTATTCAAAGTACCTGACTCCAAACCCATTGGATATTCATGTGGAACTAGGGTTGGAAAAAGCGGGAAGTTAAGGATCCATACCTGGAAGAAATTTACCTATAATAATTTAGACAGAACCTAAAATGTAAAATAGAACAAACCTAAAAAGAAAACAGATAGGATATGACTGGCACACGCTTGTAATCTTAGTCGTTAGAAGGTTTAGCTAAGAAGATCAAGTCGAAGGCCAGCCTGAGAATTTAGTGAAACCATGTCTCAAAATAAAATGCAAAAAGGCTAGGGCAGCAACAATGGCTCTGCACTACCCTGTGGCAGTGGGCCCTACCAGACAGAAGTGATAAAGAATGGGAGAAAGCTGAGGCATGGCCAGTGCTGTGAACACCTCACCAAGCATACCACATCTGTGTGATACAGGGTAAGAGGCTTTGTGCTTTATGAGCAGTACACCATGTCAATGCTACAGAGGTTTCTAAGGCCAAGAAAGAGGTGGATGTACATCCATATCCAGGTAAGTGCAAGAAGCTGAGTAGAGTGTTGGAAGCCATGAGAAAAGCAGATGCCAAGGTTTAAGTCTACATTTCCTCTCTCAGTAATCACCCCCATGAAAACATTCTCATTCTCTCTCTCTCTCTCTCTCTCTCTCTCTCTCTCTCTCTCTCTCTCTCTCACACACACACACACACACACACACACACACCAAAAATGAATTTAACCTCTAAAACTGGGAAGGGGAATATAGTGACATGTTTCCATAAGCAGTGATGGGAAAACACTTATTAGAGTGAAAGATGTCTTGATCATATATGAGCAGTGAAGAAAAGGCTGCTGAGAAAGTCAAATTTGTCACATCAGTAAGTGGTAACTATTCTAACAATGAGGTCCAAGAAAATTGCAAGAGAGTCCAGAGTAATGGCTAATGGTTAAGAACACTGGTTACTTGCAGAGGACCCAGGTTCTATTTCTAGCATCCATATGGCAGCTTTACAGCCAGCTGTAATTCCAGTCCAATCCCATAGGATCTCTAACACCCTCTGCTGACTATATGCATGTGGTGCACAGACATACATACGTTCAGGAACTCAAACACATAAAATAAAAATAAAAACTCAAATAAAAGAAACAGCAGGAAAACGGTGGAAAGGTAATGTCTAAGGAAGAAAAGTAAACATGTTTTATTTACTCTGGTGCATTCTAAAGGGAAGATCACATGACACTGAGGCAATTGCAATGGAGAGTGCCAGGTTCTCCAGGCCTCTGACAGAGCAGACTTGCTTTGGTTTAAGTTCTAAATACTACTCCAACAAACCAACCTATTTTGGCATGGACTATTTTACTTTTCTCAGACAGATCTGTGATCTATTATGATTTGAGATTATAAAATTTCCAGATTACACAGCAAGGGAAGCACTAATATATTTAGTGTTTTTTTGCACTATTAATCTGAAGGAAAACACATATCTATTTGCTTATATATAGGAAAGGTTTTTTGTTTGTTTGTTTGTTTTGTTTTGTTCTGGTCTATCCCCACCCTATCCTACCCCATCCTAGCTGAGCTGGAACTCATAATATAGACCAGGATGGTCTAAAATTCGGAGATCCAAATGCCTCTGCCTCCCAAGTCTCCTAAGTGCTGGAATTAAAGTCATTTACCACCATGTCTGAGTAGTTAGTTTATTTATTTTTATGTTTTGTTTTTGAGCTGTGTCTTGCACTGTCTGGACTAGCCTTGAATTCTTGAGCTCAAGTGAGTCATGTGCCTCGACTTCTCAAATGTTGAGGTAATAGATGAATGCCATTACATCCAACTTTGCAAAGAACATACTTCATAAACATATATTGTATAAACATGTATACAGTGTATCACTATATGGATGGACACTCTTCAGTAGAGTAGCGGTTTCATCTGTGAGTGTCTAGTGAATCCACACTACTGTTATTTCTACACAACCACTTTAGTTGGGCTCATTAAGACTAGAACATTCAAACTTTCTAGTGAGTTACATTCAGAATTGTTTTAATTCTTTCCAAACTTGTCCATGAATTTTAAATTGCTCTAACTTGTTTTTTTGCTTATTTTTGACACCTACAGAAAAGACACAACTCACAAGATCAATACCTACCTACAGCAGCAACTGGCTCACCACCCTACTCTGTTGTCTTTTTAGTGCTTTATATGATACATGCAGACAGCTCTTAAAGACTGAAGACTTTTGTAGTTACAATAACCAATAAACCAACAGGCTGCTTACCCCATAGATGAATCTCTGGTTAAACTGCTGCATTGCTCCCTGAAGCTGACTACGTTGCAGCTGCCACTGTTCATAGTTCCTGACCGATTCCAGTGTTGGCCTCTGCCATGTTGTTGTTCTTGTGAAATGGTCAACATAATAAATACGTCCCATATTGTCCACACGCCGTTCCCAACTAAACCAGAAAAGAAGCAACTAATTTAAGAAATATCTGTGAAAAACATGTAAGACAAATTTTGCCTTGAGAAACTAATAAGTATTTCTCTCTTTGTACTTAAGACTAAATCCAGGGCCTTGCACATGCTAATTAATGCTCTATCACTGAGCTATATCCTTAGTTCTTTCTGATTTATTTGAACTCATTCATATTTATAAACTGAACTTCAATGCTTTTAAAATTTTGTCCTTTAAAAGTCTGTAACAAATATCAGTGAAGTCTTTTAAATATAATATATATTCAGAGAGTCTCAAAGGAAAGTTTCTTTGTTCCCTGCCCCTCAGTAACCTTTATACTCCAGCAAACATCATGGGAGACATCAGTTGTACACAGAATTTTTCACAGATGAAAAAGCATTCTGTTCTACCTTTTTACTTACATGTAGTAAAATGGTAACTTCAAGACAACAAAGTTTTTTTCTTCAAATTATTTCACAATATAGAATTACCAAGAATATATGTATGTATTGATATGTATAGACATAGATTGATATACATATATATTGATCTATATCTACCTGGAAAGCTATTTATAGTAGGATCAAATTACACTATTACCAGCATTACTATGGTTAGAGTTCCTCATCAATACTTAATATTACCTGCTAATTTAACAAGTCACACCACACTTTTTAGGTATGTATTTCTTTAAGGGTTAGTTAATGCTAGTTAATAGCTAGCAAGATTAATTATTTTTCTTTTCTTTCTTCCTTTCTTTCTTTTTTTTTTTTTTTTTTTTTTTTTTTTTTTGGATTTTTGAAACAGGGTTTTTCTGTGTGGCCTTGGCTGTCCTAGAACTCGCTTTGTAGACCAACCTGGGGCACTAACTCAAGAGATTTGTCTACCTCTGCCTCCTGAGTGCTAGGATTAAAGGTGTGTGCCACCACTACCCAGTAATACTTTTCTAAAGATTTTTATTTATATGTGTGTATGTGTACGTATGTACACATGGTGCTGGTTACCACAGAGGTCAAAAGAGAGAAATGAATCCCTTGGAGCTAGAGTTATAGGCAGTTGTAAGCTGCCTGGTGTTTATGCTGAGAACCAAACTCACAAACCCTAGAAGAGCAGCAAACACCCTTACCATTGAGCAATCTTCAACCTCAGAGTAGACCACACTCCCCATGTTTGCTACATATATTTCCCTTTGGGTTAAAAAAGTATTTTCTTTCATTTAATATAATATACACATCAAATATTTAATACCAACATGTCCTTAACTTTCTCAACCATTTCTAATGATTTGAATATACATTAGTTTTAATAACAGAGACTTTGTCTTAATATATAACAGGCAGTTTAACTCTTTCCCTGGGATGGAGGGCTGAGACAGGTCTTAGCACAGACCAGCTTCTAACATGACCTCCTGATTCTCCAGCCTCTACCTCCCAATATTAAGACTGCAGGGAAGTGGCACCATGCTTGGTTACTATAACTCTTATTTAGTTAAATGATTATTCTTAAAGAAACTAATTAAAAATTCTGTGGCTCTTAGCCAGGAATATAGCTCAGATAGGAAAATACAAATAATAAGAACTGTGGGTTGGTTCTTTAAATTAGAAATGTTAAAAGTAAAAATCATTCATCACAGTATGGAGCATAGGCGTGTAACCCCAGAACTTGCAAGGCTGAAAGGCTGAGGCAGGAGAAGAATTCCTCCTGGGATACAGTGACACTCTTGTTTCCAAAAACAAAATCAGTCACAACAGCAACAACCCCTCAGCATGCTGGGAGTGGTTCTCTAACTCTCTTCTTTCTAGTGTGAGTCTAACAGAGGAGAAAAGAGGAGAACTGGAGGCAACACTGGGTACAGGTACAATTTGTTCTTCTCAATAAACTTTTTGTTTGTTAGTTTTATATTTTTTATTTTACACATTGATCCCAGTTCCCTCTCTCCCTCCTTCCCTTCCTCCCTCCCATGCCCCCGTTAACTTTTGTTAAATTCATACACGTACCCAGGAGGTAGAGGTTCTGGTCTATCCCATGTTGTTCGTTTTTCAACATGGTCTACATAGTAAACACGCCCATGCTGGTCCACTCTCTGCTCCCACCTTAAATACAAATCAAAGACTAGTAAGGGCACTTTGTATTAGTTTGGCTTTTTAATCCTGTCTACATCTTTTCACTTTAAATGACCATCTTATGTAACTAAGGAAAGTTAGCCTGTTAGTCTATAAAGAAAAAAGAATAAAAATATAGACAAGAGTTATCACCTAAAAAGAGAGGAAAAAGCACCAAGAGTGACACACACAATAGTGAATGAGGTTTCTTTTTCCTAAGTGCTTGTTCTGGAAATAACATGCATTTTAAAGTCAGCCCATCCACCCACAAGACCTAAGTTTCTCAATCTGATCAAACTATACTCAGAAGTTGAGAGGAAAAGAAAGCATCAACACCCTGAAACCTGAATAACTGAGCTAAATGAAAAGCAACATTCTGATTACACTCTAGAAAAACTGAAATCAAAGCATGTCATTATCAGACATTACAGGATGAGCGTTATAGACTGGCCACTGTAAGTACTCTAGTATTCTGGGTAGGTTTGTTGCCAAAGAAAAGAGAATAGCAGTAAAGCTTCACAGCTTGTTATTTTAACCATTACTTGCTTATTTATTTTTATGTGTATGGGTACTTTGACTGCATGTATACTTGTATACCATATGTGTACCTAGTAACCACGAAGCCAGAAGAGGACATCAGACCCCCTAAGAGAGGAGTTAAACAGCTATGTAGATGCTGAGAATCAAAACCAAGTCATGTGAAGAGCAGCCAATATTCCTAACTGATAAGCCATTATTCCACACCTTAAAGTCTCTTTTATTTTTAATTTTATTTTTTATATTTATTTTATTGAATGTGTATCAGTATTATGCCCGCATTTATAAGAGCACCACGTGCATGCCTGGTGCCTGCAGAGGTCAGAAGAGGGCACAGAATCCCCTGGAACTGGAGATACAGGAGGTTGTGAGACACCATGTAGGTGCTGGAAGCTGAATCTAGCCTCTGCAAGAATAGCAAGGGCTATCTCTCAACCCCAGATCACTTGTTCTTAAGCACAAACAATCTTCTAATTTAGCTTGTCATGTGATATGGTTTGGATATAAACTGTTCCTGTCTTTCCACTCCACCTACTATACCTGCTCATGTCTTTGAATACTTGGTCCCCAGCTAGTAGTATTCTTTTGGAAGGTCGTGGAACCTTTAGGATACAGATTCTACCTAGAAGATGGTAAGGCCTTGTTGAGGGCTGTAACTGGGCTTGCTTCTACTTAAGCTCTGCTTTCAAACTGCCACAGTGATAAGACTAGTTACCAACAAAAGAGATCAAGTCAAAATCTCTCCCTCAAGTGGCTCTCTCAGGTTCTGTCACACTGCTGAGTACAGTAACTAAAAGACCACATAAGCTTCTAAAAGAAAAATGACCTAGTTAACAACAAGTATAATCTGTGTAAGTAGCTGAAACCTTCACCATAAGTTTATTAATTTACCAGTTACCAAATAACTTTGGCTAGCATTTTGAGCCCTGATCACAAGTTTTTGCTTTATGTGTGTGGCACTGAAGGTAGAACTTGCAACTGCACACATACTAGACATGCTCTACTACTAAGCCAAACCTTTAGCCCTGACTGAGCTCTCAATTTGATCAAAGTATTAAGGTTAAAAGTAGGGGTTGGGGAAATGGCTCAGTAGTTAAGAACACTTGTTATTCTTACAAAGGACACAAGCTCAATATCCAGAACTCACATCAGATGGATCAGAACTGCCTATAACTCAAGTTCCAGGGGGTTCCAATATCCTCCTCTACGCTACAGGCACTGTCCACATGTGGTACACACACAGACAAGGCAAATAGATATGCATACACACACACACACACACACACACAAACATAATTTTAAAAAAAAATTAATTACAAATTAAAATGACATTATGGAACTAATTTATCAGTTTAAATTATTACTTGCTATGATGATTATATAATAAAATGTTTTTAAAAGGTATTTACTTTTTCCCCACCTAAAGAAGCAGCATATAGTCACATGACTATTTTATTACTTGACTCTCATTATCTTTCTTTTTTTTTAAAAGATAATTTATTTAATGTATGTGCATTGGTATGAAAGTGTCAGATCCCCTGAAACTGCAGTTAGAGACAGTTGTGAACAGCCATGTGGGTGCTGGGAGTTGAACTCACATCCTCTGGGAGAGCAATCACTGCTCTTAACCTCTGAACCATCTCTCCAGCCCTCGACTTTTATTAATTTTCTATGGGTGGTAGTAGGGGTCCTTCAATAGTTGTCTCATTTTCCAGGTGTAATGGTACACACCTGGAATCTACACTTCAGAAATAGACAGCAGAAGGATCAGTAGTTCAAGGCTATCGTCATCTACACATTAAGTTTGAGGTCAGTGAGGGCTATATATCACTCTGCCTTGAAACACACACACACAAAACAAACAAACAACCTGTTTTTGAGACAGAGTCTCATATTGTAGCCCAAGCTGATCTGGAACTCATAATAATACTCCTGTCTCAGACTTCCAAGTGAGGAGATTATAGTCATGTTCTAACATACCCAGCTAATTTTTTTTTTCCTACTTCCCAAAAAAGGAAGAGGTAGTATTTAAAACATGTTAAACTTTCTTGGATTCCACACTCCCCAAATAAATTACAATTACTTAAAAGACAATTAATGAAAGAATATAGTATAATCTTTTGTAAATTAATGAGTGCATGCAAAGGTGGAAAGCAAATGTTAGCAGTTACTTACCCTGGGGGCAGGGGAGCCTGACTTACAGTATTCAGTGGCCTCGGGCCTGAGCCTCCAGATATAGTAAGAGGAATGATTAACCCAGATGCTGCTCCTTCGGATGTACTTGTGCTTGTGTTTACATTTGTGTTTGTTGGTGGCAAAGAGCCTGTACTAGATCCATCACTTTCAGAATTGGTAGATGGTGAACCGTTGACAGATGCTATGAAAGATTTAGGGAAAGTATTAGAAGCTTTTGCTTTCTGAAATCTAAAATCATGATCAAATTTTAAGAGTTTAAAAGTACATAACAAGTAAAACCTATGATGTGTATATACAGGTCTCATCAAATTGCATAGCATATATAATTCTGAATTCATAAACATATAAACTACTTAGTTGTTTGATTTTTGTGGTGCAAGGACCTCAGCACAATAGGCAAGTACTCTGACTGACCTACAACTCCCAGCCCAGTAAAAACTTTTAGAATAGGAAGTCATGGGTACCACTTTCCAGATCCTTAAAACTGCCTTTTCTATGTGACCCTGAAGGTCTAAGACTAATTTGTGATGTTGTTAATAAGTGTACTAATGCTACTGATGGCTAATCAGAAAATGGATATTCTGTATAAATGTTACTATATGTTTATATTGTTACTACATATGTTCAGTTCATGAATTTTTCTGTTTAAAAACTGATCATCATTTACCAGTAAGCTTTTTTTTTTTTTAAACAGATCTTTATTATATATACAGTATCCTGCCTGCATGTGTGGTTGAACACCAGAAGAGGGCACCAGATCTCATTATAGGTAATTGTGAGCTACCATGTGGTTGCTGGTAATTGAACTCAGGACCTCTAGAAGAGGAGCCATGATAAAAAAAAAAAAAAAAAGTTTTTAAAGCTTATTGGTAAGGGGCTGGAGAGATGGCTCAGAGTTTAAGAGCACTAGCTACTACTCTTCCACAGCTCCTGACTTAAATTCCCAGCAAACACATGGTAGCTCACAACCATCTATGAGATCTGGTGACCTCTTCTGTTGTGCAGACATACATGCAAGCATAATACTGTATTCATAATAAATAAATCTTAAAAGAAAATTTTTATCAAATTTATTCACTTATATTTTGTCTTTGGTCTGCATGTATATCCGTGCACCACATGTGTGCCTAGTGCATGCAAAGGTAAGAAGAGGAAACAGGAGTTATGGATGGTAGTGAACTACCATGTGGGTGCTGGGAATTTAATGCAGTTGTTGCTCTTAACTGCCGAGGCCTCTTCCCCAGGCCCCCAATCAGCTTTTCAAAAGATAAAATGAACTAAGCAACCAAATTTTTAACTATAAGATAGGTCACAATTACCAACCACACAAAGAAGTTTCAATCTTACTCTTCTATACTGTTTATATTTTATATAATACATGTTATTTTCATTCTTAATAAAGCACTCCCACATGGAACTTCATTCCTGGAAGGAAAACTTAAAGAAAAAGCAATTCTTAGTCACCCATGGAAAATTCATTCTTGGTCACGTCTCTAAACATAAAAACAAAGCTAGAAACCAGACATGGTGGGTCACACCTGCAATCCCAGCACTTAAGAGGGCTGAAGCAGATGGATTTCTAGGTTTGAAGCCAGCCTATGTTACAGAGTAAGATTCTACTTACACAAAACACCATGACCTGATACTTAGCTATCGATCAGTTTCCAAACAGAACATTATTTAAGAACACTAGGCATGATGCCAGGCTGAGGAAGGAAGCAATTGAGGCTAACATGGGCAACTTCTAGAAACTGTGTTGTCAACCCTTCCTACCAAAAGAGCATTATTTAAAAAGCAAGACAAAGCTGGAATATATACCTGGTCTTCGTGGGGTGGGTGGAGGTGGTCTTGAAGGTCTTGGAGGTCTAGAAGGCTTAAAACCACCATTTGAAAGGGATGGAGAGTTGTTCCCATTTGCCCTCTTGCTTTCCCCCAACACTGCAACCTCTGGGTCATCTGATCCATTTGTGCTCACTCTGGATAAGGGCAAGGAGGGGAGAGAGGAAGGGAACAAAACAAATGCTCCTTATTTACTTAAGAATACCAAGAAACCTAATATTTAATATTGTAGGAATTTGATAAATAGCCTTTCTTTCTTCCTTTCTTTCTTTATTCCTTTCTTCCTGTCTTCCTTTTCTTCCTAATTTCAGACCAGCCTTATCAAATAAAGAGGCCATAGGCTAAAGTTTTATATAATTCCTTGGGATGGTTTGAATGAGAATTGCCTCATAGGCTCATACGTTTGATTGCTTAGTCACCAGGAAGTGGAATCATTTGACAAAGATTAGAAGGTATGGTCTTATTGGAGTAGACGTGACACTGAAGGTGGGCTTTGAAGTTTCAAAAACCCATGCCAGGCCCAGTTTCTCTTGGTCTGGCTTCCTATGGATCAGAATATAAAGCTCTCAGTTCCTGATCCAGTGTCATGCCTGCCTGCTCCCTACCATTAAGATAACACAACTAATCCTTTGAAACTGTAAGCAAACCCCAATGAAACTGTAAGCAAACCCCAATTAAATTCTTATTTATAAGAGTTGCCTTGGTCACAGTATTTCTTCACAGCAATAGAAGAGTAACAACCTGACATAGATAGTGAGGAGCCACTCAAAGGGTCAAACTTGAGCCCATTCAAAATTACTAGGTATGACTGCAGAAAGGCTTCAGAATGCTTTGTATATGCAGGAATGATATCAGGTTCTTCAAAATCCTAATGCCTATCTGTAAAAATGCCAAACAATCCAAGGATACTTACCTAGCGTACTGGTTTGAAAGGGCTTTTCCTTTTTGCTTTCAATGCTATATACACACACATACATAATATTTATATTATATATTTACAGTATTTATATATAATTAATACAAATTAAATATATATACCTTTGTTTATTTATTTTGGTTTTTCAGGACAGCATTTCTCTTGTGTAATACCTGAGCTATCCTGGAATTTATTATGTAGAACAGGATGACCTAAAACTCACAGACATTCACCTGCCTCTACCTTCCAAATACTGGGATCAAATGCATGCACCACCACAGCCTGGCTCCATGCTAATATTTCTATGTAATTAAATTAATTCAACAATGAGCTAGCCACATTTTCTTTCAACAGTTTTATAGCTTCATCTTTTGAAATCTATTTAAAATCAACTTGGAATTTACTCTTGGGATAAAGGCTGTAGCTAGATTTTACTTTTGCTAGCTTTCCTAGAATATTACTAACCTATGATCATAATGACTTCTGCAGCATTTAACACTGTTCATTAAATACTCTTGGCTTTTTGTTGCTGTTATTGTTACTGTTTTAATGAGACAAGGAGAGGCTTTGTCTCGTAAGTAGCCCAGGCTGGCCTCAAATTGAAGATTTCCTGACTCATCCTCCCAAGTACAGAGACTACAAATACATTATGCCATCATACCCAGTACTATCCCATCTCTTTGTGTGTTGCGGGGGGTGTTGAAGGGGAATAGGATCTCACTTTGTAGCCTTGGTTGCCCAGAACTTACTAAGTCAACCAGACTAGCCTCAAACTCACAGAGATCCCCTTGCTTCTGCCCCTCAAGTACTGAGATTAAAGGCATGAGCCACTTTTACTTTTATATTAGATTTTTTTGTACTTTCTAGATTAGATTTATCTTATTTATGTATATGAATGTTTTGCTTACATGCATATATGTGTACCACGTTTGTTGGATCTTGATCACTGAGTTTATGGATGGTTATGAGCTACCATGTAAGGGTTGGAAATGTAACCTGAGTCTTTTGCAAGTTCTCTTAGTCTAAGCCATTACTCCAGCCCCATCATGACATATTTAGAAGCCAGCTTTCTCTAACTTGTCATTCTTCTTTTATCATCTTATACTTAGATTTCTAATCACCCTACAATTCTTCCTCTTCCTCGGATTTTAGGATCTCAAATCTCATAATTCTGAAGATATCTCTAAAGATTATCTCCAAGTCAGAATTTCTATAATTAATGGGACTCTCTCCCATCACCCAGTATCAAGTTATTAACAAAATGCAGGAGGTACAGCTCTCTAACCCTGTCTAGATTCTTCCTTCTAGATGTTCTTAATTTCTAAGTCCACTTGATACTGCTTTCACATTCTCCCTCTACTCTTCTACCATGCCTGCCTCATCTACCTCTTAGTCTATATTGATTTTGTATCTGTTTCTCCCATCTTCACTGGAGGCAATATAAAGAGGAAAATTTAAAGGGGACACCAGAAAGGAAAGGGGCCCCTCATGCTGAGGTCTATTTTACCTTGTCTGTTGATTAGTCAAAAAATTTAAACACAACCCAAAAAGCCCAAATTGCTTTGAGAGATAATGTGTGTTTTCCTAAAGACATTTAAAAAGGATGTTAGAAACAACAGATGCACTACACTTACAAGAACTAGAATGCATATAACCATGAGCTTTACCACATTGTTTCCCTCTTATCCCTAAATCTAAAGTACGTAACTCATAAACAACCTTGCATGTTCATTTCAAAAGAGTCCTTAAGATGGAGAGAAATGAGTGAACCAGCTCATAGATTTTTATTTAATTAAAAGATTTTAAATTTTATTATTATTGTGAATGTACAATGTATGGGGGAGGTGCATCCAAGCCATTGGGCATGTGTGTTCAGGGTATATCCAAGCCAGGAGGCATGTGGGGAGGGGTGCATCTTGAGCCTTGGGGCATGTGTGTAGAGGTCAGAGGACAACGTTATGGAATGAGTTATCGCCTTCCTATTTTATCAGGGTTCAAAGATTCAAATTCAAGTTTTCAGAGTAAACACATCAAATGTTTCTTACCTGTCAAGACATCTAGCTGTCCTAATTTTTAAACTTTATTTAAATTTTAAGCTTTGCTTAATTTTAAACCTTGTTAATAAGTTAATACTTTGAGGAATGAGACTTGGAAAGCCACAGGATCATATACAAAGCTATTATAAAGACATGTAAGCACAACTCTATCTCAAGAAAACCACAATCACATCTTGGAGTTACATTCTGTTCCTTTTCCTGTACGTTTAAGCACTAACTAATTCCACTTTACCCTGGCTCATCCTGAAACTCTTTATATTCAGGGTGGGGCTTTAACTGTGTGGAAGTCCCTAAGGGAGAAGAGAACTCTTCAAGTAGCTCATGGCATATGGAGATATCTCCAGCTGTTGCTGACATACTCATAACATAAACTACACTACATAGCACTGCCAAATAAAATTAATTTTCTTATAGAATTCTGATCATATTAATCCCCCTATTTAACCTCTATTTAGCCACATAACAATCTACCTAATATTTAAAATAAATAATATTCAGAATGAGGGAGATGGCTTGGTTTGTAAATGGCATACTGCACAAATATGAGTAACTGAGTTTAGGTCCCCAGCATCCACATAAAACATAATGAGCCAGGCATGGTAGTTGACACCTACAGTGAGTACTAGGAAGGCAGAGATGGGAAGGTGCCTAAGGCTTGCTGGCCAGCCAGTCTAGCCAAATCAGTGTGCTCCAGTTTAGTAAAAAAACAATCCTGACTCCAAAAACTAAGGCAGAGAAGAAATTGAGTAATAATACACACATACATACATACACACATAAAATAAAAATTAAAATAAATAACAACTAGATAGACTTGCTAGTGCATATCTTTAACTCTAGCACTCAAGAGAAAGAAGGAGGGGGCTTCTAAGTTGCAGGCCAGTCTTAGCTACTTAGCTGAACCATATATTAATAAACCAAAACAATAAAAGGGTTCACATGTATTAACAACTAAACATTTGCTTATGTAATATTACACCAGCTTAGGTGGTAGTAAAGTATAATAGTTACGAGTTCAGGCTCTGAGGATTAGGCAGTTCTTATATTCAACGATACCACATGCACTACAAACCCAGGCAAGATCTTTCCTCTTTCTGAACCTCTGTATTTTTCATCACTTTCAGCATAGTAGATGGCACATAAGAAACAATGTTAATTCCAATTCTACTCTGAAACTGACCAACTGCACTTTTCTTTTAAATATCTTAGTTAGGGTTTCTATTGCTGTGAATAGACAAGGCACCATGACCATAGCGACTCTTATAAAGGAAAACATTTAATTGGGGCCGGCATACAGTTTCAGAAGTTTTGTCCATTAGTATCATGGCAGAACATGACAGCATGCAGGCAGACATGGTACTGGAGAAGGAGCTGAGAGTTCTACATCTTGATCTGCAGGTAACAGGAAGTGAACTGTATATCCTACACTGAACATAGCTTGAGCATATGACACCTTAAAGTCCATCCCCACATTGACAAACTTCCTCCAACAAGGCCGCACCTCATGATATTGCCTCTCACAATAGGGCAAGCATTGGAACACATTTCTATTCAAACCACCTCATAGCCTTACTTCAGTCACTATTAAAAAGACAGTTTCTCTCCACCACACTGGTTTTTTTTTTTTTTTTTTCTCCTTCAATCTAGAATTCCTTCCTTTTCCACAATTCCTCTTACATCAAGTGTTATTTTTTCCATGATTACTATACATTTTAATGTTAACACTACTTCATTTAGACCTTTTCAGATTCTATGTTTTTTTCTAATAAACACAAATTTCAAAAGACAGTAAGATTCAACTAGCTTGGGTAAAAAAGAGGATAAGATTAAAATGAGTGACATTTCCTGTTAACTAGGGCTTCTATGAAATGGACTGGGTTATGTACTACAAAACTTCTAGAACAGCTGTAATCTCAAAGCTTTTGTAAACCCAGTTTAGCGTAAGAGTATTAACATTACCTGAAAACTTGTTAATATGAAAACTTTGTCCCACCCAAGTAATGAATCAGAGAATGAGACCTAGCAATTTGTGCTTTATCGAGTCCTGGGGGAGAATCTGATGTACCACAAAGTTTGAGGGCCAACAGGATGGCTCAGCAGGTAAAGATGCTTGGGGCCAAGCCTGAGAGTCTGAGTTGTATCCTTGGAATACACATGATGGAACAAGAGAATCAGTCCCATCATTCATTCTCTCTCTCTTCCTCCCTCCCTCCCTCTCTCTCTCTCTCTCTCTCTCTCTCTCTCAGAGATCTCTCTGTAAGCAAGCCCCAAAACCCATAGCACTGCCCCCAGTTACTATGAGTTACTATGATCATGATTATTGACCTGGGAAGTCAGAAAGAACTGACTAAACAAATGGCAAGAGCTGGAGCTAGAATGGTTTCACAAGTATAATAAAAGACATGTAAATAAGATGTTTACAGCCAAAACAAATGACTCCTTTTGATGTATACATGTTCTGCCAGCATGTATGTGTATGTGCCACATGGTGCTTGGTGCCTGCAGCAGCCAGAAGAGAGTGCTGGATCCTGGGATCCTGGGTATTGGAGTTACAGAAAATTGTGAGACATCATATGGATGCTGGGAATTGAACTTGAGTACTATAGAAGAGCAGCCAGCCATTTTAACTGCTGAGTCATCTCTCCAGCCTCCTACAGTTTTCTCTTAAAGTCCAATGTTCTTTGGAAACCACCTTATGTTGTCATTTATTAAAAAGTTCCCATAGTGAACCTTTAAACAAGGTAACTTCTGAAGGCACCAAAATCATATATATTGTTATTGTTAAGACATTGTCACATGATTCTTCTTGAGAGGCCTGTACTCATGTCTTGGGTGGCCTTTTCCTAAGTGACTCCTTCCCTTAATGTTAGGCTTCCATTTATGTTAAAAACAAAACAAGAAAAGCCTTTTTTTCTAGCCAGGCAGGGTTACACATACCTATAAACACAGAACTCAAGAAGTGGAAACTGGAGGATTAGGGAATTCAAGACCAGTCTTGACTACAAATAAAGTTTAGGCCAAAGAAAGTACATGAAAGTAAAACTACTTTTCCATTATAAGTAACTATTCTCAGTAAGATTAATATAGTGTGATTCAAAGACTGTAGAGTTCTATTTGCTTTGACAGAACATTATGACTTTGGTTTTCCTGAAGATTTTAACAAACTGTGTGTCATATGTTTTTGCCCTTTTGGGAATAGAATCCATGACTTTTGGGACACTGGACAAGTGTTCCAACACTGTCCTTTAAAATATTTTTACTATGAAAATTTCCACACATTACAAAAGTAGATAGGTAACATGGGAGCTTGTTGTACTAGTTTGCCCAACTTCCAAACCATAATATTGAGCTCTATTTCCCTTTACATAGCACAAGACAGTCTTAAACTCAAGCAGTCAAAGTTGGTCTCTGATCTGTGACCCTCCTGACTCTACCTCCTAAGTACTGGAATTCCAGGTATATCCCCTGTGCTTGCTTCTAGGTTATCTATTCTCCCCTGCAGCAGTGTGACAATATGGCATGCACTTTTTTCTGGATGATTTTCTCTTATGATCTGTGACACTGCTTTTTTGGTTCTCCCACTTAAATTTTCAATAGATTTATTTTTATTTTATTATTTATATGTATGTCTGTGTGTGTAGACATATACATTTATGCTAGCACCCACAGAGGCCAAAGAGGTGTTGGACCCCTGAGACTGGAGTTACAAGCAGTTTATGAGCCATCTAACAAGAGTACTGGCAGAACTTGAGTCTTTTGAAGAGCAGCATGTACTCCTTATTGCTGAGTCATCTCTCTAGCATCCTTTTTCATGTTTTTTGTTGAGACTACATTTCACATAACTCAAGCTAGTTTTGAATTCCTAATCTTATCTTCTTCTACAAAATGCTAGATTACAGGTGTGCACCAACACCCCCAACTTTTTAATGATATTTTTAAGACAGGGATTCTCACTTTGTAGCCCAGGCTAGTCCAAATATAAGCTTTGCAGCCCAAGCTGGCTTTAAACTCACAAATAGCCTCCTGCCTTAACCATCCAGATGCTGGGGTCACATAGGTAAGTCAGCATACTTGGCCCACAATTTATCAATCTGAACCTGAAAATTGGTAACTAGTTATTCATGTGCATGTGCGTGTGCGTGTATGTGTAGATGTGTATATGTGTCTATGAAAGCCAGAAGACATCTGATCTCCTGAGCCAACTTTCCAATCCCCTAAAGCTGAAGTTAAATGAATTAACACAAGTTAATTCTTTCTTGTCTATTTCTGCATTCTGTGGTAAGCAATCAGTGAACTCCTACCTTGTTTCATCTTTGGGTCTGCAGCCATCATCATTCTGTGAAGTACCTTTAACAATAAATTTGGACAAAATGAGATTCAAGAGAGTAATTTTCAATTGAAACTAAAATTAAAAGTTAAAAAAAAAAAGCCTTTTACTAAAACTATTAAACCCTCCTAGCACAGAATACAGAATATACCTCCAAACATATATATTAAAGGGAAAATACAATGGTGTATAAATTCAATTCTATACATAACGTTATTCATTGAGAGATTAGTTAAGGTGCATTATTCACACCCTACTTCTGCTTTTTTTTTTAAGATATGTTTTTTTACTCTAATTCAAACCCAGGATTTAGCCATTTTCTCAAAGCTCAGGCTGGCACTGAACTCCTCATGTCCCTGCCTCAGACATGTTGTGCATCCTCATACACAGCTTTTAATCACTTACTTAATCTGAAATAGAGGGGAGGGGGATACTAATCAATAACAGAACAGTCAATATAAAACAACTCTGAAATAGCACAGCCAATAATAACTCTTTCTTTATCTAAAGAAGCTGAAAAGAAACTCAGAGAAATGAAAGACACAAAGAACTCTGAAAGGAAGACTCTATCTGAAAGAAAAACAAAAACCAAGTAAGTTTCAAAGAGGCCTAAATAAATGCCATAATATTCATGCATTCTTCCCATTTTATTCACAGAAAGAGGAGGAAAACTGAAAACTGTGTAAGAACTCAAGTTAAACAGTCTAGACACAACCGGCAAAAGAACCAAAGCAAAGCCATGGTTTCAACAGTAAAATCACAGTACACTATACCATAGCATATAGCCATATTATGCCACAGCTAGCAAGGGTTGTAGAAGTTCTACTTTTTTCCTGTTTTTAAGTACTGAAGATCATAGAAATATACATTTAAAAAATTATAGTGGAACAGATGAAATGTGAAAGTTTCTTTGTAATTGACAAGAGTGAAAACCCACAAGTAATATATTATTTTTTTAATTCAGAAAAATTATTACTACAAAAAATATAGATATAGAAGGAAAAAATACAGATAGATGCAATGGCACTATTTATGTCTTTAATATATAGACCGTATGGTAGTTTTCATGAGTGTTTACTTTGTAATGTGGGCTTAGACCTCAAATACATACTAAATAGGAGAATACAAATCAAAGTGCTTCATAAACTGAAAAAAATTAATGAATACAATAAAAGTCCTACCTAAAAAATAGGACCACAGCCTAACAGCTTCAATTTTTAAAGCACCCTTCATCATGTCAAACAAAAATATAAACAAAAGGGCAGGAAAACTGACCCAGCAGTTTAGAGCACATATTGTTTCTGCAAAGGACCTGAGTTCAATTCCCAGCACCAACATAGTAGCTCTAGATCCAACACCCTCTTCTGATCCCTGTGGAAACCAGGCACAAACAGGTGCACATACATACATGCAGGCAAAACACTTACACATATAACAATGACAAAGGAATCCTGTTGGCCTTTGGGGGAAGGCAAGTTAGCTAGTATTTTGAGCAGTGTGTGGTGGTACACACCTTTAACCCCAGCACTCAGAGAGGCAGAAGAATAGGGATCTGAGTTAGAGGACAGTCTGGTCTACTTAGTGAGTTCCGGGGCAGCCAAGGCTATATAGAGAGTCTGTCTTTAAAAAATCAAAACAAAGAATATAGGAGCTAGAAAGTGGCTCAGCGGTTAAGAGAACCTGTTGCTTTTGCAGAGAGACCTTGCCAAAAAAAAAAGGAGTAAGAAAAAGAAAAAAATAGAGTAAGAAGAGGAAGCAGAAAGAGGGTTAAAAATTTTAAAAATAGTGAAATAATTTAGTATATTACTAAATGAGAGAAATATCTGTTAAGAATAAACTGGAGGGGCTGGAGAGATGACTCAGAGGTTAGAGCACTGGCTGCTCCTCCAGAGATCCTGGGTTCAATTCCCAGCACCCACATGGCAGCTCACTGCTGTCCTCTTCTAGGAGATCTGATTCCCCCCATACAGATATACTTGCAGGAAAACACCAATGTATATAAAATTTAAAAGAAAAGTTTAAAAAGAGAACTGCTTTAAATTCAAGACCAATGCAAAGTACAAAGAAAGCTGAAGGACAGCCTAAGCCACCCAGTGAGACCCTTTCTCAAAAAACAAAATAGTAACAACAGGAACCCAAGCCAGACATGGCAGTTCACACCTTTACATTTCACTCTAAAGTAAAAGACTCATGAGCATGACTTCTGCATTCAAGTGCCAGACACCGAGAAGACAAACACGAAGCTGTAAATACACAGGGTTAAGGGAGCTTAACAACGTGACTTATCTATAGATGTTTTAGTGTGTGTGTGTGTGTGTGAGAGTGAGAGAGAGAGAGAGAGAGAGAGAGAGAGAGAGAGAGAGAGAGAGAGAATGTAACTATTATAGATCCTGTGAACATTCAACTGAAGTTCAATTCAGAAGCAATGTAATCATTTCTGAATTTTCCTTCAACTTTGTAATTTCTTTTTAAAAAAAAAAAAAAAAGGAGGGAAGGCCACAAAAAGGCTCAGAGTCCATTAAGGCACTTGCCATCAAGCCTAATGAGCTATGTTCAACACTCAGGACCAACATGGTAGAAGTAAAAAACTGACTCGCATGTGTTTTCCTCTGATCCCCATATGTATGCTATGGCACAAGTATTCCTACACACACACACACACACACACACACACACACACATACAAAATGAAAAACAGAATTTAAACACAGTGTAGAAAATTGTTCTGAACTAGCTTCAAGCTCCTGCTATAAAAAAAGTTGTGCTAAAGAGTAATTCCTTCACCAATGAAGCAACAGAGGGTCATAGCACCTGACAGCTGGAACCACTTTATAATAACTTCCGTTCTAAGTAAACAAGTCTTTCTCAGACCAAACACCAAAACTATTAATGCAGAGTTCTAAAAGTAGAGTGGTGGCGCACACCTTTAATCCCAGCCCTCAGGAGGCAGGGGCAGGTGGATCTCTATAAATTCAAGGCCAGCCTGGTCTACAGAGTAAAGTTCCAGAACAGCTATATAGTGAGACCTTGTCCAAAAAAAAAAAAAAAGGAATAAGGAAAAAGAAAACAATAGAGTGGAAAGAAGAAGCAGGAAGAGGGTTAAAATTTTAAAAAATGTGAAATAATTTAGTATATTACTAAATGAGAGAAATATCTGTTAAGAATAACCTGGAGGGGCTGGAGAGATGGCTCAGAGGTTAGAACACTGGCTGCTCCTCCAGAGGTCCTGAGTTCAATTCTCAGCATACACATGGTGGCTCACAGCCATCTGTAATGAGACCTAGCGTCCTCTTCTAGCATATAGGCATACATGCAGGCAGAATACAACACAATATAAACAAATAAATTTAAAAAAAAATATTTAAAAAAAAAACTGGAAAGAAGTTTTACTAAAGACAATACCAGATAAGGTGCCACTGGAAACTTCTTTATTATACTTAACTCCTCTTTAACACAAACCAGTATACCCTACAAATTGTAAAACGTACCAGCACAGAGATAATGAGTCAGGTTTTTAACTATAATAACACAGAAGATATCCCTGAAAGTGTGGTTTACAGAATGGGCATAGAAATGGCAAATGGATTCCAGCTTGTACTGACTGTCCAGTACTACAGGATCTGAAATTATTTAAACTCAATCAGTCACTGCTACAGGTGGTAACGTATATCCACCATTGGCAGTAGAAGGAGTAGCCTTCAAAGATACCATATTAGCTGATATGAATAGCATTTAGGATATACTTTATCAATCAGTTCAATAGTCACAGGCCAACTGTGAATCAACTTTTTTTTAATGATTTATTTTTATTTTTTTATGTACACTGGTGTTTTGCCTGCATGAATGTCTGAGTGAGGGTAAAGGATTCCCCAGAACTGTAGTTACAGGCAGTTGTGAGCTATCATATAGGTACTGAGAAATAAACCCAGGTCCTCCAAAAGAGCAGTCTCTTAATCACTGGGCCATGTCTCCAATCCAAAAATATTTTGCCTGGGATTTGGGTGTTTTTTGTTGTTGCTATTGTTATTTTGTTTTTCAAGACAGGGTAGCGTTGGTTGTCCTGGAACAAACTCTGTAGACCAGGCTATCCTCGAACTCCAAGATCTGCCTGCCTCTGCCTCATGAGTGCTGGGATTAAAGGCACACAACACCACTATCCAGTGTGATTCAACCTTTATTCTTCCAGCCTTTTAACTTGAGGAATTTTTAAAATTTTTAAATTTTTAAAAAGAAAAATTTTTAAATTTATAGAAACACTGCAACAAAACATTTAATATGATCAGTGTCTTTTTTATTATTTATTATGACATTGGGAATTGAATTTAGGGTCATGTACATACTAGGTAAACACTCTACCACTAAGCTATATACCTTTTTAAAAAGAAAATAAACACTTTTTTTCTGGAAAAAAAGAACAATAATAACGCTTTTCTCTGCAGAGATGTAGCAGGCAAAGGAGATGCAGGTCTGGCATTCCTAACTAATATGGTTTGATGATGCAAGACCCCGTGAAGCAGTGGCCCAGGTGATCCAACATTCAAAACAGCTGGGACAAGGCATCCTTGCAGACCACTACAGCCAGCATTTCTGAGTCTTCTTAGGATCTGAAAGACAGAGCCCCCTAACAGCAGGAAGTAGATTGGAAAGAACAATGCCCACATTCCCAAATATTCTTTATAAATGTTTGTTTTCATTTATATGGGGTTGATTATAAATGGTAATGATCACAGTCAATCTCTTTTTAAAGGAAAAAAGGGGGAAATGATATAGGAATGAATACTTTGCATTGGTATGGATTTTCATTTATTGACACAAATTTAAGGTCAATTTTGTGATATGTAAATTCCTCCTCTTGTGTTTATGCAGATCTTTTAAAATGTAATGCAAAATTAAATACAGATTATATATAATCACCTATAGTAGTCAAAACTTATGTTAGTTAGGATTTCTAGATATACAGAGATATATTTGAGATGGATAGTCTTTCAAAGACCTTCAGAAAATGGCATTTAAAATGGTTCAGAGTTTTTCATGACTTTGAGGCACAACTGCTCCTGGCAAAACCAATTACATCTGAGAGGAAGATGGGCATCGAAGAAACTTGTTACGGAGTTTGATTTTGATATAGCAAAACTAGCCATTTGGGCAAGAAACTGCTAGAGTGACCACAAACCTTGCCTAGACTGTTTGGCTGTTGCTGCATAAACTGAACATGCAGGACCCACAGGAAAGTGACTGCTGAACTCGAAAAACAAGATGGACAGTCCTAAAGGGTTCCTGCTTCGTGGAGGAATCTGCCAGACATTCTGCAGGACACAGAGAAAAATGACTGACAAACTGTTTTAAATTCCCTGCTTCACTGAGAAGTCTGTCAGATACACTATGGCCTATGGGCTGAAGGTGGATGCCCCAACATTACAGAAGAACTTCAGGTGACTGTCCAGGTAGCAAATGTCTCTGTCAACTCTAGAGTTTATATATTATCCTTCTGTGTTCTTTGATGGAGTTGAAGACATATGGTTATAGTTTTCCTTAGTTAGGATTAAAGATAAGTTACATATAAGACTTCAGAATCAAAGATAGATGATAGAATATTTTCTTTAATTCTTGACGTTAATGAACTAAACATTGTAATTATATTCTTGCTTAATAACTGTTTTGTTATATGTAATTTTATTATGTTAAAGTTAAAACCCTTCTTTGTATTTAGACAGAAAAGAAGAAATGATGGGAAATGTTCTTCCGTATGTATATATGTTTGTCTTATTGGTTGATGAATAAAACACTTTTTGGCCAGGCAGGAAGTGAGGTAGCATGGCAGATACTGCCACTAGCTAACCATAGAGGTCTAGAGGTCTGTATAGACAGGCAGGAAGTGACGTAGCTGGGCAGAATCAGAATATAAGCAGGGACAAACAGGAAATTGCTCTTTTCTCTGCAGAGATGTAGCAGGCAAAGGAGATGGAGGTCTGGCATTCCCGGTAAGCCAAGACCACATGGAAATACTTAAGATTAATAGAAAATGTGTTAATGATTAAAGTCAGAGGTAGCCAATAAGAAAAAGTAGCTAATAGCCAACAGTTTCACAATTAATATAGTGTCGGAGTGTTTCTTTGGGGCTGTGAAGGGTGGTGTGACCTGCTGAGCCAGAAAGCTAATCGTAACATAGAATATAAATGTTATTTTTAAAAAAAGAAAATAGGCAGTGTTGATGGTAATAAGACTTGATGAATGTAATTAATGCCATTGTGCACTCGTAAAGGGATACAACTATATTTTAAAGATTAAAAAAAAACAGTAATAACAATAATTACAAATACCACACTAGCTATTGTTGTCAGAAGAATCATAAGAGACCTTAACCACAAAGCAGTAACTGAGCTGGACATGCTGGCCTATGTCTGCCCATAATCCCAGCACTTGGAAGGCCAAGGTGAGAAGATGGATGCTCAAGACCAACCTAGTACTAGGGAGATGCTCAGTGGGTAAAGTGTTTGCTGTAAAACATGAAGACCTAGGTTCAGATCCTTTGCATCCATGTAGAGACCTTGTGAGGCAGCATTTGCTTCTAATGCCAGCAATAAGCAGAAGGGTGGAAACAGGTGGATCCTGAGGCTCTCTGGTTAGACACCATAGATAAACTGGAGGATTGAGAGAAATCCTGTCTCAAAGAAACACGGCAGACAGAGGCTGAAGAGAGGGCTTCGTAGTTAAGAACACATATTGCTCTTGTAAGGACCAAAGTTAGATTCCCAGCATCCATGTCAGGCAGTTCACAACCACCTAGCTCCACCAGATAGTTCAGGGAATACACACACATGACATACACTCACAGACAAACATTTACATGTAGTTAAAAATATTTTTTAAAGGCAGATAAATGACTGAGGAAGACATCCTGATGTCAACCTGGGACCCACTCATGTATGCACGGGTTAGTGTACCACCACCACCCATCTACACAGTATATTATTATCTTCAAAACAGGAAGGGAAAATGTAACCACTTAGCCACACTGTGGAAATACACACCTTTAATCCCAGCACTCTGGAAGCAGAGGCAGGTGGATTTCTGAGTTGAGGTCAGCCTGGTCTACAGAGCAAGTCCTAGGACAGCCGGGGCTACCCAGAGAAACCCTGTCATGAAAAACCAAGAACAAACAAACAAACAAAAAAGGTAATCACTTACTTTCTGAGCATGAAGTTTCACCATTAGTAACAACTTCAGCTTCTACTTGCAGCCCATCAAGACAAACTGACAAGTCTCCCATTGTTTCTGTTGGCTCTTTGTCACCTAAAAGCTGCAAAGTCATAACTACTTCTTCAACTGAAAAAGAACAAAAAGTATACAAGATTTGTAAATTGTTTTACTGGACAAAGGTTTAAGGACCTTTGAGACTACAACATTGCTTTTTTAAAAAGAAAATAAACTTCACCAGTATATATAATATTTAATATAACATATAATATATTAGATAACCAAATCATTTCTTATAGTCATCCCCCTTGAAAAAACAATAGTATAAATCAAACTAGCATGAAAACAAAGATCATATACCAATATAAACTTGGACTATATTGAATGAAAACATAATTTAAGAATGGATTATATATGATAAAGATCTAAATAAGGGAAAAAGTTCTTAGAATTATGTTAAAGGATAGAAAAACAATTCACATTTAAAATATGAGTTCTAACTAAAATGCGTTATGATTTTAAAAATGAAAATAAAACAACCATCAAAATTAAGCAGTAGAAACACTGAAAAATCTACCTACACCTTTAACCCTAATAGCACATTTGTCTCCCGTATTTTTTTCTTCATGTCTGCTTTAAATCTTTTAGTTTTTATATAATTTACTATGTGTTACTTTATTAATATTTATTAGTGAAATAAATATTTACTAAAATCGTATCTCCAAAATGAATGACCAAAATCAAGATTATTCAGAATGCTCTAAATAGTTTTAACACTTTTCTGTCACTCCCTATAACCACATAGATACTTGTTGTAGTTGTTTGTTTTGCTTTAATCTCATAATGTAGACCTGGCTGGCCTGGAACTCAATACATAGACCAGGCTGGCCTCGACTTTGTAGAACTCCATCTAACTCTGCTTCCCAGGTGCTACAATGAAGTGTATCAACCACCCAGCTCAATAATCATTTAAATATTAAATAATAATATTTAAGGACAAATAATGATGTGGGTTGTTTCACCTTTTTAACATAAGAGTTTCTTCCAAAAAACAGCAAAGTACATTTTATGTAACTCTTACATACATACGTTTCATATTGTTTGACTTTAATGTTTCATTAATATCTAATGCAGCAGTTCCCAACAAAACATCTGATTTCAGGGTCTGGTGACTCCACACACGAAAATGTAATTTACTCGTAGGGGTAACGATACTGAAAGTAAAAAAGGAGAGAAATATTGTTTTCATTAAACATCATAATGAGACCCTTAATAAGTTAAAATAAGTTAAAAATCAAGCTTTAGCATCTAAAATTTTTTCATTGTACCTCTTTTTCTTAAATTAAAACAAATTATGTTTATTTAATTAGCTGAATGTGGAGGTTAAAGGACAACTTGTAGGAGTTGGTTCTCTCCTTCCACCAAGTGGATCTCAGAGATCTAACTGAGGTAGTCAGTCTTGGAGGCAAACACCTTTACCCACTGGGCTATGTGGGCATTCCCTCATTGGGCCTCTTAAAGTTTACTATTAGCCAGGTGGTCTATACTCTGAAATCTCATGAAACCTGTATTTGAATGCAACTGGAACACACACACACACACACACACACACACACCAAAATTGCTTGTAAGGTAACAAACTATTAAAAGAGTGAATTTACTGAAACAATAAAACATGCCCCCAAAAATATATATAACTTTATGTGTCAATTTTAAAATACATTTTTTTGAAAATAGTAAATTTACAAATTAAATTCTTACTTATGCAATGCATTAAACTGAGCTTGAGGTAGTTTCATTAATGCCCATTCTCATATGAGAATTAATACTAAGCATGATGCCCTTCAGAGAAGTTGAGCAAACTGCCAAGGTCATCCAGCTAGTAAGCTAGCTGAAGTTTGAACTAAAGTCTACTATTATACACCAAAAGTTCCGCAGGCCACCATTCATTTTTAAAAATTATATAGCTAAACAAGTTTCACGGTGCCGGAGGCAAAGTCACCAGGATAACCATCACATATAGATGTGCAAGACTGGACAACACAATGAGACCTTGTCTCCACTTGGCAAAAGCACACAAGAAAGAATGTACTCTATAATGCTGTTTCCAAGGCAATAGAAATTAGGAGATCAGGAAAATTCTGCACACAAAATCTAAATTGACCTTCAGTAAATTCTTACTAATTCAATTTTATTTTTATCTCTTTTGTCTTTTAAAACAGGGTCCGACTTACATAACCCTAGCTGGCCTAGAACTCACTGTGTAGAATTCACTGGCCTAGAACTCAGGCTGGTCTGAAATCTAAAATCCTCTGAAGAGCTAGGATCACACACACGTAATTTTTAAATTTCATTCATTTTCTTAAAATTATCATTAGACACATCAAAAAGTTCCTAAGACTTCAGACATTCATATTATAGGTATATCAATTGGTTTGCCATTTACTGGGAATAAATATAATAAGTAAAAGTTATTGTTTGAAAAGAAAACTTTATAGTTTCTCATCTTGACATTTAAAAGAACATCCTTTTTTCCTAGTCATTAGTTTAATTATTTAAGTGAAACAAAATCAAGAGTTGCAAATATCAGGTAGTAAAAATAATCTGTATTTTTGTTATTGTTACTGACGTCCTGTTTTTTGAGACAGTGTTTCTCTGTGTAACTATTCTGGAACTTTCTCTGTATACCAGGCTGGCTTCAAACTCACAGATATGCACCAGCCTTTGCCTCCCAAGTGGTGGGATTAAAGGTGTGCAACACCACCACCCAGCACTTGGTATTTTATATTGAAACAACTCATGACATTCTGATCACATTTTAACCTATGCTCCCCAAATCTTATGTGCTGCATTATTCTAAAATCTATTCATTGGCAAATAATGCTTTTCCTCTTAATTTTAAAAATTACAGTCCCTTTCAATGAGTGCTCAAATGTTTCAGGTTGTACTATCAACATCTGACATTTTACCAGTTAAGTGTTCAAACTGAGTGCTATCTTATTTTTATAAATTTATACTAATGATAAAAATTATCAGCATACACGCCCATGCATAGATATAAATTATACAAGCCTAGTACCTTAATATTAGCACATATTAGAAAACAACTATTTTAGGAGAGAAATTGCATAAAGCTACATAAAGATATTAGTTGTATTATACTTAACTAGAAGTATAAACATGATATGATTATTAAGTATAAAAGCAGAGTTATAGGAGCTAGAAAGATGGCAAAGAATGTAAAACACTTGTAGTACAATTTCAGTGACTTCCGAGATCAGTCCCTAGAATCCACAAAGAAAATTTGGCTCCACAAAGTTGTTCCCTAACTTCATGACTACCACAGCATGCGCCCCCTCATAAACACACACAGAATAATAATAAATTAATTTAAATAAATTAAAATAAGGGCCAGAAGGTTAGCTCAGTGCTTAAAAGCACTAAACATGCTTCCAAAGGAGCAGAGTTTGATCCCAGCTCCAGGGGATCTATAGCTCTCTTTTGACCTCTGAGGTTACCCTCACCCATTTGCAGACAGAGATGCACACACACATAAATAAAATTAAAGTATTTTTAAAATAAAAATAAATAAAAACAATGCTACAGAATAAAATGTGTGGTAAAACTTTTTGGCATAACATATTTTATATAATATTTTTAAAATGTAACAAAATTGAATGTTGGTTTGCAGAGGCACTATGATTAAAATACACAAAACTATTTCTTTTTTTAAGATTTATTTATTTATTATATATACAGTATTCTGTCTGTATGTATGCCTGTAAGCCAAAAGGGGAACCACCATGTGGTTGCTGAGAATTGAACTCAGGACCTTTGGAAGAATAGCCAGTGCTTTTAACCGCTGAGCCATCTCTCCAGCCTAATGAAACTATTTCTTTAAATAGTGTTTTGCAATGTGGTTCAGGTATGCCTAATACGTGTAGTCCCCCATCTTAACCTGAGAAGGTTTGGAATTATATGCATGTTAAAACCATACCCAACATATGCATATACATAAAACCCTAATTTAAAAAACAGAGTTGCAGGAATGAATGGTAACACACACCTTTAATCCCAGCTCTTGGGAGGCAGAGGAAAATAGATATTTGAGTTAGAGGCCAGTCTGGTCTACAGAGTAGGTTCAAGGACAGCCAGGACTATGAAGAAAAGTCCTTTCTCAAAAAGGAAAACAGGAATAATTGAGTACTGTGCATTAAAGCACATACCTATAGTACATGCATTCAGGAGGCTTGAAGTTAAAGGGATAAAGAATTTAAAGCTAGTCTGAGCTACATAACAAGTTCCAAGCAAACCTGAACTATGTAGCAATACCCTGTCTTAGAACAAAACAAAAAAGATTCTTTAAAAGTGAGTTAATCTCTGATTCAGCCCCAATTAAAGAAAAGGGCTACTAGGACTAGAAAGATGGCTCAGGGATTGTGAGCTATTGCTAATTTTTGCAGAGGAACTGGATTCTCTTCCTAACATATACATGGTGGCTAACAACCATTTGTATCTCCAGTTCCAAGGGACATGACACCTTCTTCTGACCTCCTAGGACATTATATACATTTGGTGCATAGTCACATACACAGGCAAAACACACATACTCATAAAATAAAATCTTTCTTAAAGGCTGTTATAATGATATAAATAATACTAATTAATGTAAGAAATTTATTTAGAAAACTAAAATTAAAAGGGACAGCTATTATAAAGAGTTCTTCCCACTTTTCTTCAATGGCTACAGTGATACCATCACCCACTAAACTGGAGAAGATGAAGACAGACCAGAACAGGAAATCATCTAAAGAGAAACAAAAAGGAAACCAGATGAAAGAATCCTAGGAGCAGGTGGGGAAAGGTAAAAGAGAAAAGGGAATGCAAAGAAACAGGCATATTGGGAGTCACATCTCTGCTCATGTATAAACAAGTATCACACTGTAGGAACTTACACTGTAAGGGGTTGCTTCCATTTGGGACTGTTTGTATTGTTGCATTTTTCTGTCTTCTTTGACTGCCCATCTACTGCGACTTCTACATAAGGACTTGGCCCAAACCAATTCTTTTTATTTTCTTTAAGTTTGGCTGAGATGACTGTAAAAGAAAAAGTAATTTAACATTTGAAATATTAGTTTACTCCTTGACCAATGCCATTTCATTAAAGATTTAGCTGGTTATTTTAATTTAGAAGCAACTATTTCCTAAAATATTTATTAATTGTATTTATAGTATTTGTACTTCTTATATCTTCCTATATTAGTAAATACACACATATATACAGGACTTCTACACATCAGATACTCAAATAACTACCAGAGACCCACCCTCCATAGCCAGTGCCAGGAACATAGGCATGGCCACCATGCCTGGCTCCCCAAGAAGCATAACATGTACTTTAACATCTAGGAACTGAGCAAACTCAGGCCCAGGAGATGGCCATAAATCTCTGACTTCCCACAGATCAAATTGTTTCCTAACATGACTTCAGCCAAATCATTTCTTGTTTTCCACTAGTGTGTGTGTGTGTGTGTATGTGTGTGCGTGCATATTCTCTCTCTCTCACACACGCACGCGCATACACACACACACACACACACACACACAAAGCTGACATAGAACATGGTATGGTGGTTTTAATAAAAATGGCCCCCATAGATTCATATATTTGAATGCTTAGTCACCAGGGAGTGGCACTATTTGAAAGGATTAGAAGGATTAGGAGGTGTGGCCTTGTTGGAAGAAATGTGTCACTGGGGGCAGGCTATGAGGTTTCTAAATCCTATGCCAGTCCCAGGCTCTCTCTCTGACTGCAGATCTGAATATAGAACTCCTGGAAGCCGGGCATTGGTGGCGCACGCCTTTAATCCCAGCACTTGGGAGGCAGGGGCAGGTGGATCGAGGCCAGCCTGGTCTACAGAGTGAGTGTCAGGCCAGGCTCAAAAACAATACAGAGAAACCCTGTCTCAAATTAAAAAAAATAAATAAAATAAAAGAACTCTTGGCTACTTCTCCAACACCAAGTCTGCCTATGTGCCACCATGCTCCCTACTCCCCACCCCACTATGATGACAATGGAACAAACCTCTGAAACTATAAGAAAACCCCTTATTAAATGTTTTCCTTTATAAGAGTTGCAATGATCAAGCCACAGGATGGTGGCACACAACTTTAAGCCCAGCACTAGGGAAGCAAAAGGCAGGTACATCTCTGAATTCTAGGCCAGCCTGGTCTACAGAAGATGTTCCAGGCCAGCCAGGGCTACACTGACAGACCCTGTCTCAAAAAAAGAAAAGAAAAAAAAAAAAGTTATCATGGTCTTCACAGCAATAGAAACCCTAAGACAGTAGGATTTAAAACCCATGTATTTATGTATGCACGCATGCATGCATGTACATTTATATTTCATATATATATATATGTATTTTCATTTTACATTGTATTTATTTTATGCATTGGAAGGAGTGCTTGTGCCACAGTGAAAATGTGAAGGCCAGAGCACGACTTGAGGGGGACAGTTTTCCCCTTCTACCATGCGGGTTCTAGAGATTGAACTCAGGTCACCAGGCTTCGTGGCCAAGTGCCTTTACCCACTAAGCTATCCCTGGCTCAATCCATTTCTTTTTATAAGTTCATTATCTCAGAGATTTGTTACAGTATCAGAAATCTGACAAATATATGATATACTTGCTGAAAATAATTTTTATCTGTTATTTGTTTTTCCACTTTTCTTATATGGGTGTGGTATGTGTCTAGACATGTGTCTAATCATGGGTCTTTGCATGTATTTGGGTTGCATATGTGGGTAAGTATACATGTGTGTATGAATGCATTTGAAGGCTCAAGGTTGATGGTGGGAATCATCCTTAATTGCTCCTCTATTTTATGTACTAAAGGGAGGTCTCTCATTTAAAGCTACAGTTGGCTGTACGGCTGTTCTTGCTAACTTTTCCACCTTCCAAGGCTTGAATTACAGGTAGGCCACCACAGTCACCCAGCATTTACTTGGATTTCTGAGGAAAGGAACCCCAGAGTCCTCATATTTGCACAGCAAGCACTTTTACTACTGAACCATATTCCTAGTTCCTTATTATATTTGTTTGCTTGTTTGTTTATTTATTTTTTTAAGTCCTGTGTTTGAGAAGCCTTGGAACTTTTAGACAAAATATTAAAATGGCTAGACATACTAACTCTGTGATATCATCAAGAAGTTACTCCCCCCTCACCCCACCCCCAGAGAGGGTTTCTCCATGTTAACAGCCTGGGCTGTAGTGAAATTCACTCTATTGATCAGGTTGGCCTTAAACTTACAGAGATCCTCCTGTGTCTGCCTCCAGAGTGCTGGGATTAAAGGTGTGCACCACCACAGCCCAGTTTGCCCTCAGATTTTGATAAATTGAATGTAGCAATTAAGATACATGTTGGAGGCCACATACATATACATATAATTTCTTAAAGGGATATGATTTGTGGCCTAACACATTCACAATCTAGATGATGTAAACAAAGAATAGTAGAAACTAAGTAATACACCAGGGTGTGGAGTGGTCTATAATCAACAAATGTTAAAGGGAAAGAGACTGGGGATCACTGTGTAGTAAAAGCTATAGGTACCTGCCATGCCTTTAAAAAAAAAATCTAGCATTTCATCTTGACTACATGAAACTATACTGTGGAAAGTCTTAACTAAGACTAAAAAATTTCTACACCTCAATGAAAAGAAGCAATGCAGGTTTCTGGGAAGAAACATAACGTAAGGGGTAGCATGTTAAAATATTAATCTTAAAATGATGTACAGTATGGCTAAAGGGATACACAAAGATTTAGATGTTACTTAACAATAGGAACCAGATTTGAATAGCCATTTTTCCAAAACAAATTAAAAAAGTAGCCAACAAGTACACAAAAACATGCTGAGCATCACTAGCTATCAGGAAAAAAAAAAAACCACAGCTAGCAGAATGGGTACAATCAAAATGACAGACGACAAGCATTGGGAAGAGGTGGGGAAATTAGAAACTTATTATGTTGCTGATGAAATTGCATAATGTTGCATCTGTTATGAAAAATAACCTGGAATCCTCAAAATGCTAAATACGAATACTATATGAACAAACAATTCAACTCCTACAAATACACCCAAGTAAACAGAAAGAACACAACCTCACAAAAAGTGTACAAATGTTCATAATATTATTCATAGAGTATTATCCATAATAGATTAAAAAAATAGAACTGTAGCAAGATGGCTCAGAGAACATAGGCGTTTGCTGAGGACTTTAGTTTGATCCAAAGAACCTCATGGTGGAGAGAACCACCAGTGGCTTCCATACATATGTACACTTGCATGTGCATAGAAATCAAACACACACACATAAATACACACACACATAAAATAAATGTAAAAATAAACAAAAGAAACAATCCAAATATTCATCAAGTAAGAAATACATAAATATTATACATTAACATAATGGAATGTTATTTGGCAATAAAAAGAAGTACTGATATATGCTATGACATGAATGAACCCTGAAAACATGTTAAGTGAAAGAAGACACAAAACGTCATAAATTGTATTGAGAGATCCAAATCCACAAAAATGGGCAAGTGGCTGCCTAACTTTGTGGTTACTGCTCACTGAATAAATGGTTCGTGATGCTAATGGACATAAGGATTCTTTCTGGAGAGACAAAAATCATTCTAAAATGTTAAAGCAGGCTTGGCGGCATGTCTGCAATCCCAGCACTTAGGAGGGAAGCAAGGGCTGCAAATCATATTTGGCACCAGACTGAGCCAGGAAACCTTGTCTAAGAAAACTAAACAAAACACAAAGTAAATAAAAACAGAGTGACACATCAAATGGACCTAACATATCTACAGAATATTCCACTTAACATCATAGAACATGATCTCAGGAGAAAAAACAAAGCCAAACAAATTAAGAAAAACTGAAACGACTCTGTGGATACTATCTGACAATAATACAATAAAGCTTTAAATAAACATCAAGTGATCCTCTAATAATTACATAAATTAATGGACATTAAACAGATTACTGGAAAAAAACAGATTATTGAATGATGGATCAGTCAAAGAAACACTTCAGGAAGAAATCTAAAAAGAAATAAAAATTTCCTCAAATTAAATGAAAAAGAAAACACAACAAAACCTTTGGGACACATTAAAAGCAGTTCTAAGAGGGAAGTTTTCAACCCATGTTGAAAAATGGATCAAGCCAGGAGTTTGTGGCACAAGCCTTTAATCCCAGCACTCTTGGGAGGCAAAAGCAGGCAGATCTCTGTGAATTCAAAGCCAGCCTGGTCTACAGAGCAACAGCCAGGGCTACACAGAGAAACCTTGTCTTGAAAAAGGGGGGGGGGGGAGAATGGATCAAAGATTTTAATCCTGTGAATGTGAAACCTAAAACACTGAAACTGCTGGAAGAGATCATGGAGAAGTAACCTACAAGATAAAGATGTAAGAAAGGACTTTCTGAACAAGACTCCATTTATTCCTGAATTAAGTAAGGCCAACAATTGCTAAATGGGACCTTATAAAACTGTCTTTTGTATAGCAAAGGAAACAATCAACTGAGTGAAGAGGAAGAGAATTTTTGCCAACTATTGCTATGGAATAATCTTCTGTACACTGTAAAGATTTGTGGCTGAAATTCGTTTAATAAGACGCTGATTGGCCAATAGCCAAGCAGAGTGACCAAACTAAGGATGATGGGAAGGAGAAGGATAGAGTCAGGAGATACTGGTTAGACAAGGACAGAGCAAGATGGACACACCTTACTGAGAAAAGGTGCCGCCACATGGCAGATAGTAAATAAGGGATACAGGCTTACTTAAAATGTAAGCACTAGATAACAATAAACCTGAGCTATTGGTCAAGCATTTGTAAGTAATTTTAAGTCTCTGTGTGGCAATTTGTGAAGAGACTGCTGGGTATTTGGGACTGAGCAGCTCTGAGACAGGAAAATTCCACCTACAAACTATAGATCTGATAAAGGATTAATATCCAGTATAAATGAAGACCTCAAAGCTATGGGTCTAAACACAGACTTCTCAAAAGAAATAAAAATGACTAAGAAATAAAAGTTTTCAGCATTTCTGGGCAGTGGTGGCACACACTTTTAATCCCAGGAATTGGCAGACGGAGGCAGGCGATCTCTGTGAATTCAAGGCCAGCCTGATCTACAGAGTATGGGCCAAGACAGGCTCCAAAGCTACACAGAGAAACTCTGCCTGGAAAAACAAAAAGCAAAAACAAAAAAAAAAAAAAAAAGAAAAGAAAAAGTGTTCAGAATCATCAGCAATTTGAGAAATGAAAACCAAAGCCACTCTGAGATTTCTACTTACCCCAATCAATTATAATGACTAAGATAAAACAAAAACAAATAAATAAACTAACACAAGTGCTAGGGAAGATGTGGGCAAAGAGAAATTACATTGTTGGTGGAACTGCAAACTGGCACTGCCACTATGAAAATCAGCATAAAGAATTCTCTAAAAAGTAGATATACCATAGGATCAAGCTATATTATTCCTTGGCATATGCACAAAGGATTCGACAAACTACTTTCCAGATACCTGCTAGGTCATTTTTACTACTGCTCCACTCACAATAGCAAGAAAATGGAAATAATCTACATGTTCAACTAATGAAAATGTTGTACACTTATACAATAGAATTCTATTCACTGTAAAGAAAAGTGAAATCATGCAATTTGCAAGTAAATGGATAGACCTTTAAACAATCATCCTGAGTGAGTTAACCTAGACCCAGAAAGGTGACAGCTACATGTTCTTTCTTACTTGTGGACCATCCCATCTCTGAATCTTTAGATATGAGTATATAATTTTTGGTATAGCTGCAGAAACCAAGAAAGTAAAAGGGATCATGGGGGCAGAGTGGGAGGAAGAGCTCTAAAGAGAATAGCAGGACATGGGTTCTATGAAGTGGGAAATGAGAGAAAAAAGAGAGGCAATACAGAGAAAGAGGGAAGGAAAAGAAGAATAAATAACATTAAGAAGATTTGAAAAAGTCATAAGGAAACATTGCATGTTGACTTAATATATATCATATATAACATAAATAAGCATATACAGCCCATACACACATTATATGTAAGTGTATATACACACACATATATGCATTTTTAAATGAAATTATGCCATTTCCCCCTAAGAGCAATAGACATCTAACAAAAGCCCCAGATAAGATAGAGAAACCTCCCTTTCAGCTGTTGGTCAGGAGAGTCCAAGGGACTCCCAAAAAACAGTAGAGGCTATTGCCATTGCTCTAACTGGCCTATCAGAACTTAAAGACAAGACCCTATTGCTAAAGACACTACTAACACACTCATTTCACTTTAGACACAGGAATTGGAAGAATCAAGCTGGAACTGACCTGGAAGTCTCTTCCCTATAGACTAGCTCTCTCTCACAGTATCCAAAGATGCTAACAAGCTGCTAGGAGAGAAAAGCAATCAATAGTTCTACCCTAATGTAAAACCTGTGAACCATAACAATGACGAGCACATCCAGATACCCACAAGAGTACAATAGTGACACATATCTTAGGGGTAACCAACAGCCATTTAATTTAAGGCAAACTCAATTGGAGAGAATTCATGCCTGCTACCACAAACCTAGCCAACTACCTGTGGTTAGTGAGGTCATGGACCCTAGAGGAAAACCTACTACTGTAACTTTCCTAATATAGTGTTATTCCATATTGCATTCTAAGTACTTACTTACTTCTGTCCACAAATAAGTGTATTTTCACCTTTAACAAAGTAGCTTCAGCAAGTAATGGTGGGGCACACCTTTAATCTTAGCACTTGAGAGGCAGAGGCAGGCAGAATCTCTCTGAGTTCAAGGCTAACCTGGTTTACAAAGTGAGTTCCAGAACAGGCTCCAAAGATACACAGAGAAACCTTGTCTCAAAAAAAAGAAAAAGAAAAAACCAAAAAAAAAAAAAAAAAAAAAAAAAAGTAGCTTTCTTTTGAAGCAGATAGGGACCATCCAGAAATCCACAATTGGTCAAAATTCAGAGAATAATTAACCATAGGGTGCCCAACTCCAATTGCTACATCTACAACACAACCTTATACCTAAGACTCAAGGAACAATGCAGAAGAGGGAGCAGAAAACTTTGAAAAGCCAGAAGAGTGAACTGCAACACAGTGTCTTCTATATATGAGAGGGGAACTGTACCCATTAAATCTCAACAATACGTCCCCTAAATAAGGCCTGCACAATGACAATATCAGCCAACACCAACATGGTTTGGGAAAAATCTTCTAAGACCCACCCCTAGATGAAAAGCCACCGACAATTAATGACCTAAGAGAAGGAGAATCAGTCTTCTCTAGGAATGAGCACACTGATAATTATCCAACTCCAAGTAGTCAGCCCTAAACATACATAACACCACCACCACCAACAACAACAACAACACAATAACAACAACAAGGGTGTGTTCTGTAGTATGTGTGTGTATAAAACAATATAATTAAAGAAGAGGTCATACAATTGCGTAGGGAAGAACACAGAAGTTAGACGGGGAGGGAAAATTAAAAATTTAAAAGGGTAAGTGGTGATAATGGCTCTATTATGTCTATAGCTCAATAAAATTATTAATAATCAACAGTAATTACCTAGATACCAGTTTAATGAAGGAGAATGGATCTATAAAATGTCTTGAGGCAAAAATGATTTTTATGTATCTCAACATTCTGTTCAAATATTCATTCACCAAATACTGACTTGGTACCTGTAATATAACAGTCCACTAAAGATTTTGTTCTCATATTTAAAAAGAAAATTTTAGACTATGTTTTAAAACTGAGATGCATGTACATGTATGTAAGTGAATGACACCTCTGACTGCAGGTGTCCTCAGAGGTCAAAAGAAGTTACTGGGTCCTCTGGAGTTGGGGTTGTGAGTCTCCATGTATGATGTGGGTATTGGAACCTGAACCAGGGTCTTCTAGAAGAGCAGAAAGTACTCTGAACCACTGATTATTTTTTAATAGAGGAGGCAGTTTTTAAGACTTAACAATGGGAACTGGAGAGATGGTTCAGCAGTTAAGAGCAGTGACTGCTCTTCCAGAGGTCCTAGGTTCAAGTCTCAGCACCCACATGGCAGCTCACAACTGTCTGTAACTCCAGTTTCAGGAGACTCAGAACTTCCCATGGCAAAACACTAATACACATAAAAAAAAAAAAAAAAACAAAAACAAAAAAACCTCACCAGTGATCTGAAGTTGTGATTTCATGGTTAAGCTACCCACTGAATGAAGCTGTGATCCACTGTCAGACATACCATCAATAAGACAGCAAACCTGAAAACAAGACAAATGAGATATTATTAGCATCAAAATTTTCCATTTAAAAATATGTAAATAGCTATAGTCTAGCCTTTCATACTAAAGGCTTCATAATAATCAATGGTATTCACAATGCTAAACACAGTTTTCAATTCTAGTATTCATTCTATTATCAGTAAAACTGAAATCTCTTCCTCTAATATAAACAACAATCTTCCCTTGAGTTCCCAAAATACATTTTCTTTTTTTTCTTAAAGATTTATTTATTATTTACACAGTGTTCTGTCTGCATGTAGGCCTGCAGGCCAGAGGCCAGAAGAGGACACCAGATCTCATTACAGATGGTATGCACCACCATGTGGTTGCTGGGAATTGAATTCAGGACCTCTAGAAGAGCAGTCAATGCTCTTAACCTCTGAGCCATCTCTACAGCCCACCCCATCCCCCAACCCCCCCACCCCTGCACACACACACACACACACACATTTTCTAGGTTTATGGTCTTCTGGTTAATTTCTTCTCAGTCTCTTTAAAGATTCCTTTTCTTGGGGCTGAAGAGATGGTTCTGTGCTTAAGAACACTTGCTGTTCTTACTAAGGACTGCAGTTCAGTTCTCAGTACCCATATGGAGGATCAGAACCATCTGTATTCCAGTTCCAGGAGACCTAATGCCCTTTTTCCTCCTTAGGCACCAGGTACACAAGTGGAATGCAGACATACAAGCAGGCAAAACACTCATGCACATAAAAGAAAATAATTTTTTTAAGTGTCTTTTTCTTCTCTCTGCTCCTAATGCTGGCTTATGCAGGCTCAATTACTGGTTCTCTCTAGATTCATTCCCTTGAGGACACTATCAGGTTTTAGGGCTTTAAACTGCATCTATATAAAAACATGACCCAATCGACTAAATCTCTGGCCCAGATCTTACTCCTAAAACCTAAAAAACTTCACTTGGTTACTTAAGACACCCCATACTGAAGATACCCCAAACTCAACTCCTGATCTTTTCTATAGACCTCTACTCAAATACTCAATTTTCACCAGTAGGTCTAGATTCTAACTTCTAGATGTTCAAGCTAAAAACTTTGGAATCATTCTTGACAATTTTCCTTATATTTTGCTTCCAAGCTGCCTACAAATTAAGTATCTCTACTGATAGAGTCCTTTCAGTCTGAATAAAATATATCTCATAGTCATTAGTAGTCACCTAAATTAAAGAGAAATGAGATATAATATAAGGGTTTGAACTCTGCATTGTATGATGCTACTATCTGATTCCCAAAGAACCCTCAGAAACATCACCATTGTTCTGTAGTTTATTACCTAGTCCTCAATATCCAAAAGCATATTTAACACAAATCTATGACAAAACAAAAACATCAGGAAATACAGAAGCACTCAAGCAAAAGTCCTTGAGATCTTACAAATAAGATAGGTGGGAGTAGTAGAAAATCTTGTAATTTAAATTTTATTTCTTCCTTTTACTCATTATTACTTCCTTCATATGATGTTTTATTTTATATGACTCTTCTTAAGCTACTATAATAGTTCAACACTTCCTCATGAAAAAAGAAAACAAAGCAATGGAACAGAAAAACAGAACTGAGGGCTAAGGGTACAACTCAGTTGGCAGAGTACATGGGCAGTGTATATGAAGCCCTGGATTGAGGCCCAACACCACACAAAATTCAGGCATGGTGATTCGTGAGTCCTGTAATCCCAGGACTCCAACAATGGAAGCAATAGAATCAGAAGTTAGCTATGCAGCCAGTTAGAAGCTAGCCTTAGCTACATGAAACTCTAGTCTCAAAAAGAAAAAAAAATTTTTTTTAAAGCCAACTATAAAGATTATGGAGAGCCAGGAGTAATATGGCACATGCCTTTAATCCCAGCACACAGGAAGCAAAAGCAGACAGATCTCTGAGTTCATGGCCAGCCTAGTCTACAGAGTGAGTTCCAGGATAGCCAAAGCTACACAGAGAAACCCTGCCTCAAAAAACAAAACAAAAAAAACAATGGAGGAGAGATAGTTTAGTAATTGAGATTTCTTGTTTCTCTGACAGAGATCAGAGTTCAGTTGCTAACATCTATGTCAGAAAGCTCACAACTACCTATAATGAACATCTTCTTCTGGCCTCTGAAGGCACCCAAATGCATATGCATTCCATAAACACACATACATACACACACACACACACACACACACACAGACACACACACACACACACGCTAAATACTTTAATAAATAATGAGCCAGGTGGTGGTGCACACCTTTAATCCCAGCACTCGGGAGGCAGGGGCAGGCAGATCTCTGTTGAGTTCAAGCCCAGCCTGGACTACAGAGCAAGTTCCAGGACAGCTTCCAAAGTTACAGAGTTATACTCTGACCTCTACACATGCACTGTAGTGCTCATGCAAGCGTGCACATACACACACACACACACACACACACATAAATAAATACATAATTTGTGTATAAAAAAAGTTTTGCTGGGCAGTGGTGGTGCACCCCTTTAATCCAGCACTCGAGAAGCAGACACAAGAAGATCTCTGAATTTGAGGTCAGCCTGGTCTATAGGGTGAGTTCCAGGGTGGCCAAAGTTGTTTCACAAAGAAACCCTGTCTCGGGGAAAAAAAGTTTTCTTTCATAAAGTATGAAACCCAATAAAATAGTATCTATTTCCTCAGAAAGCAACTTTATTGTGGGGCTGAAGAACAGTTTAGTGGATAAAACACTTGCTGTGCACAAGCATGAGAAACTGAGTTCAAACCAAAGCACCCACATAAAAAGTCAGGCATGACCATGCCTCAAACATCAGTGTTGTAAGGAGCACAGACAAGAGGATAGCTGGGGCTTGCCAGCAGCCAGCCTAGCTCTAAATTTTGTGAGGACTCTATATCAGGGGCATAAAGTACAGAGTGATGTAACACCCGATGTCCTTTGAGTATAGGCACACACATGTGTACATTCAACATACACAAACACACACAAACAAAACCAAAAACAAGCAAGCCACTGTTAGTTTTTCTGTGGCTAAGCTCAATATTGTAGGAGTTCTTACTATAAGTGGTAGGGTATGAAAATGCTCTTTTCTAGAATAGAAAAATATCTAAATATTAGAAGAACATTTCTAGATGTGGGAATTGGAAGTTTCTTCCTAGCAAACACTGCTTTTTCTTCTTGCTTATCTCTCTTCTTTTCCTCTCTTGAGAAGGGTCTCATGTAGACCCAAGAGGCTCAAACTTGCTATATAACTGAAAACGACCATGAATTTCTGACTCTCCTGAGGGCTAGGATCACTCTGCCATGTTGTGGGCAGAACCAAAGGCTTTGTGAATAAATGCTCAGTGGTTCTCTACCTACACTCCCAGACCCACACCTCACTATTTTTTTAAAAAAAATATAGCCCAGGTTGATACTTAGCAGAATATATTCAGTTATTTTAAAGAAACCAGGAAACAAGAGATAAGCATCTTAAATTTCAATTCCAGGCAAGCTTTTAATAATACTTATTATATTGAAGTGTGACTGCTGGCAAACAGCTTTGTTTTTCTAAACAAAACCAAAAAAAAAACAAACAAACAAACAAACAAAAAAGCCAAAACTAGCAAAGTCCTTAAAGCAGGAAGATCCTTGGGACCTAATACAGAAACAGCTCAACAAATACTTGCTAAGTATTATCAATTTAAACCAGTGTTGTGGTCCATGTCTATAATCTCAGCACTGGGAGGTAAATGCATGAGGCTCATCAGTTACAAAGCAATTTAGAGGCCAGCCTGGGTTACATGAGACCCTCTTTCAAAAAAAAAATAACAGAACACACTAATATTTTTATGCTTTGCTTTGCTTCCTTCCAGTCTTTGTGCCAAAGTTTAAAGCAGAAATTAAGACAATGTGGCCTCTTTTTTTTTTTTTTAAGGCAGGGTTGGTGATGTATTATTTATGATTTATTAAAGCTTGCCTGAGGATTCAGAAAGCAAAGTCAGCCACAAGCCATAGATGTCAGGCAGTGATGATATACACCTTTAATCCCAGCAGCCATAGAGCTAGGAGGTGATGATACACACCTTTAATCCCAGGTCTCAGGATTAAGAGCTAGACTGATCTCTGTTAGTTTAAGGCCACACTGACTACATGAAATTGGTTCAGTCCTAAAGAGAACAGCTCACACAAAGTTGATATCAGCACCTGGGATCACACACCTTTAATCACAGCACTAGGGAGGTGGTGTAAGGAGTTATGTGACTGGGTGGAGAAAGGAGTAAAAGGTAGAAACAGGATCTGACAGACTTTTACTTCTGACGATTTGTGGAGACAGGACTGCCATTTCAGCTGGGTAGAGAGGGGTAAGATAGAGGAGTAAGATCTACTGGTTTGGCAGCTTTGCTTCTCTGATCTTCAGCATGAAGCTTGAACCCCAATATTTGTCTCTGGATCTTTTATTTTTTTGTGCTACAACAGGATCTCTCTATGTAGACCAGGCAGACTAGGCTAGCCTCAAACTCAGAGATCTCTACCTGCCTCTGCCTCCAAGTGCTAGGATTATAGCTGGCTCAGCTTCTCATTTGTAAAACAGTGAATATTAAAAATTCTTATGTTACTGATACTAGTCCTATATCATGAGGTCAATAAAGTACTAAAAAGGTAGTGACTCAGCCAGTCAATAGTGACGCATGCCTTTAGTCCCAGAACTCAGGAGGCAGAGGCAGGCAGATCTCTGTGAGTTCGAGACCAGCTTAGTCTACAATACTACACAGAGAAACCTGTCTTGAAAAAAAAAAAACAAAAAAATGTACTGACTCAGCACATGAATCACAAAGTATAATCAGAGAGTGGACAAGAAGGCATCTGAGAGGTCACAAGCAAACTCAGTAGACAGGGACAGAGTGGGGCACCCTTGGAATCCCAGCACTTGGGAGGATTAAACTTCAAGGTAGTCCTTAGCTACAGTGAGTTTAAGGCCTCGGCTTAACCTATCTTTTCATTCATTCATTCATTCACTCATTTATTTATTGGTAGAGAGAGGTTATTAGACTCTGAGAGATTTAAATCAACTGCCCAAGATTACTGAATATAAAAACTACCACACAAGTCTCTCGGATATCTTTCCAAAAAGAATTCTCTGTGAACTGGAGTAAAATGGCTATTCTGAGGAACATTTTCAAGATCCTTGGAAACAAAAACAATCTTTCCCAGTACATTTCTTTTCTAGGAAATTTCTTTATTTCTGGTAAGATAGGCCATCATTGAAGGAATAGAAGCTGATTTGCTTCTTTATTGCAGGTAACAGCTTCTTTTCCTCCTTTTAAAGTCTATATACTTCATTTTCATGCCTTCTAACAATCTGAAGCAACTTCTTTGCAATCTCATTTAACTACTCTCCCTTGTACTCATCTCCTTTATCTTTCACAAATCACATCCTTTCTCTCCATAACTATCAAAAAGAGCACAGTTAAGCAAGCATCTGATTATAGCAAGTGAGATTCCTTTACATAAACCTATCAAAGCCTTCTTCTGTCGTAAGCATTAAAGGGCAACTAGTTAACACAAACACAAACTAAATCAAAAGGTCACACAGGTGAGAGAACAATGAACATTAATGCTCACAGTGGAGACAAAGCATGACTGAGTTTGCCAAAAGACATGATGATGATGGTGACTGACAATAGTCTCAAGTTTATGGTTAGGCACTGATCCTCAGGAACTGATTTTCTTTTCCCTTGTTCCCTTGCTCCCTTCTTTCCTTCTCTTTCTTTCTTTCCTTCTTCCTTTTTTTTTTTTTTTTTTTTTTTTTTTTTGTGTATATGCATCTTTTTTAAGACAAGGTCTTGCTTGGATCATCCAGACTACCTCAAACTTACTGTGTACCACAGGAATAACCTTACACTCTGGATCCTTCTGCTTTGGCTATTCTAGAACTCACTATGTAGACCTTGAACTCATAAAAATTTGCCAGCCTCTACAAAGGGGAATGTTACAACACCCAGCCTTTCTATTTAAAAAAAAAAAAAAATTATCATTGTATATGTATATGTGTGAGTGTGGGTGTGCATACATATGGTGGTAAGAGGACAACTTATGGGAGTCAGTTCTCTCCTTTCACCATGGGTTCTGGGAATCTAACTCAGGTCATTATGTTGTTCAACAAGCCCTTATCATTTGCTGCCCCATCTCACTGGAAGCTCTCTCTCTCTCTCTCTCTCTCTCTCTCTCTCTCTCTCTCTCTCTCCCTCTCTCTTCGTGTGTGTGTGTGTGTGTGTGTGTGTGCTCACTTGTGCATGCATGTGGTGTATGATGTATGCATTTTGTATACATGAGTATAGAGGCTAGAGGTAGACAGATGTCAGTTTGCTTGCTTGCTTCCTATCTTTTAAGCCTGAGGGCAATTTTATTAGAATTTTAAAAAGAAAGATACCAGAACAAGGTCCAAATTTCAGCATCTGTCAAAAGGGAAATGACAAAGAGGAAGAGAAAAGCCATGCTATTTAAACCTGTTTAGCAATACAGGTTAGCCATCAACAGCATGGAAAAATATCAGGGAAGGAGTTATAACTTAAAAAAAAAAAGGAAGGAAGGAAGAAAGGAAGGAAGGAAGGGAGAGTATCAGGAAAAGCATGATTTAGAAGGAGATAAAGGAAAAGGAAGGACTCAGAGAAGAGGGCACATTTAACATAGCTACATGGCTTTAGCTCCATAAGCAACTGTCCAGCTCTCTCCTCAGTTTTACACCTTTTGTTTTTGAGACAGAATCTGTCTCTCACTGATCCTGAGGCCCACTGATTCTTTTAGACAGACTAGTGAATAAGTTTAGAGATTTGTCTCTCTGTTCCACACTCCCCAGTGGGGGAGTTACAGGCACAAGCCACTGTGCTGGCTTCTTAGGTGGGCTCTGGTATCCCAAACTCAGGCCCTCATGCTTGTAAGGCAGACACTACACCAAACAAGCCACTTCCACAGCTCAAATTTTACTCTTTTAGTGAATTTCAAGTCCCTCATTATTACTGGGTTTTGAAGGGGACAAGGGGAGAAAAAGCCTTGCCAAGTAGCCCAGGCTAAACTCACAAGCTTCCTACTTTGGTCTTACAAGAGCTGGGATTACAGTTATTAGCCACTATGCCCAACAGGTTTTCAAATTTTATTCATCTTCTAAGTTTGTTTCCTTTGATCAACATCTCCCCATTTTTTGTTACTAATTCTTGGTAGCAACCTTCTCTCCAATTCTAAGAGTGACTTTATTCTATATATAAGTGAGATCATACATTTGTCTGTGCACTGATTTATCTGACATGATTTCTTTCAGGTTCATCTATGCTATCCTAAAAGGGCAGATTTCCTTCTATTTTAAGTAGAACTTCCTATTACACATATATATCACATTGTGCATGTTTGTGTATATAAAATATAAAAGTTCACATTTACCCATTTACCTATTAACAGACATGTCTATGTTTCTATTATCTTGGCGGTTGTAAACACTACTGCAACAAACCAATAGCAATACAGGTATTTCTCAGAGGTAGTGATTATAATTCCTTTCAGTTACACCTGCACTATACACACACACACACACACACACACACACACACACACACACATCTCCAGCCCCTTATATAATTCCTTTCAGTTATACCTGCAAACACAAACACACATGTAGACATATATACATCTCCAGCACTTATTCTTGATACTGAATATTTAACAGGTATTTTTTATTTGGTCCTCACAATAATCCCAGGGAGGTAGAAAAGAATTAATATATCTATACATAAAGATAGATAACCTGAGGCAGGCAAGAAAATGACTAAAGTAACATAGACTGTCAGTGCAACATCAAATCAGAGCCCAGACCTTTTTTTCTATTCTATACTATACTATATTGCATTCTTATGAATTCTTCTATTTTTTTTTTTTTCCTCTCCCTAGAGACAGGGTTTCTCTACACATCCCTGGTGGTCCTGGAACTCAGAGTTGACCTTGAACTCAGAGTACTCTGCCTTCTGAGTGCTGGGATTAAAGGTATGCACAACCACCACCCAGCAATTTCTCCACTTTTTAACCACCACATGTATATGTTTGGACATGTTTAAGGGGATAAATATTTATAACACAGCACAAGTGGGAAAAGCCAATTGATGTAACCAGTAACTAACATCCTCTCCCACACAGCTCTTCATCTCCACAGCAGTTATGTGACCAGGACCTGCCCTCTGCTCCATACTGCCCCCAAATGTCTCTCACAGGAAAGTCACCACACCTGAAGTTCTCACTGGTTGAGTCACTTCTTTGGGTTAAGGCGTTGTTTCCAGAAGGCCACTGTGAAATGCATGTTACCTGAAAAAGAAGGGTCCATTAACAAAGAACTCTGGTTAAACAGATTCATGATAACCTTGAGAATCTCAAAAAAAAAAAAGGTCTTTATTTGTCCCAGCATAAAGCCTCCTACAAAAAAAGAATCCACAAGAAAGACTTTTTATACAGAACAGATAAGATAAAACTTCTGGGGAAATGACTCCTGCACAGTATGGGATTATATTCATTATATTCACTTGGATATGATGGACATTTGCAAAATAAGGATAACTGAATACACATATTCTCTCCCTAAGGGGCACTGTAAAGTTGATTCCTACAAGTCAGTTGCTCCTAGAAACAGAAACACAGGCTGGGGGGAAGCACTGAGTATCATTAGTTTTAAAAAGCAGCAACTGAGTCAAGCTGACAGTAGCTTTCCAACAACGGTCACTACTAGACTGGAAGAGGGCAGGGCCCAGGACAGCTTCTCATAAGTACTACTACTCATTTAAAAAAAAAAAAAAAAGCCACAATTTAATATTTTTGGATGAGGGCAAACCTCTCAACCAGGGAAGGCCCCTTTACTGATCTATACTGACTCAAAATCAGTACCACAGCACAAAAGTTAGCATGTCTTTACTAAATGCTTTTTATGAACCCATAATTTACTATGTACTATAAATACAGAAAAAACAAACTTATGTTTTTATTGGTTCTTATAACCAATCCCCAAACTAAGAGAGGTAAGGCACAAGAAAGGAAAGGGAGCCTTGAGCCTCGAGACTGGCAGTTTCCTGTTAGTACTAACTCAATTTCCTGAGTCAAACCGAGTAAACTGAACTCCTTTCTAGACTAAAAGTCATTAACCTCTTGTCTATACAATAAATAGGCATAAGTAGAAGTATTTTTTCCTCATTTGACAACAGTATGTCTTAGTGGCAAACACTCACTTCAGTAAACTGGAGAGTATGAGAGTTATAGCATTTGGTCTTAGTTCTAGCTCTGACTCTAACTAGTTTTAGGTAAAATATCTTTCTTCTTCTTTGAGACAAGCTCTCACTATGTATATCTGGTTCACCTGAAACTAGCTATATAGGCCAGACAGATAGATCTCTATGAGTTCAACATCAGCCTGGTCTACATACTGAGTGAGACCCTATCTTCAAAAACAAAAACAGAAAGCTAAGAGACTGGGCCAGTAAAATACTATGTATATGGCATATGTATGTGTGTGCATGCACACATACAGACTACCTACTAGATAACTGTTCACTAGAGATATCAGTCATCAATCATAACATAACTCCTGAGAGAAGTAATAAAACCAGAATCCACTTTTGTTTTGGGGAGGGGGGGGATGAGGACTTCACACGGCGGCATGGATTGGCCGGGATCCTCCCTAACAGTAAGTACTTCCAGAAGCTATTTCCAACCAAAGTTGGCCTACAACCTAAAACATATTTGCCACTATAAAGTAAACAATCTCTTCCAACTGGAAAACTCAAGAACTAAGTTTCTGTGACTAGAAGGAAAATACATTGAGCAAACATGGATTGATGTGCTGACAGTCACATAGCAAAACTCAAGCTCACTTCCAGACTGCATCTGATCTAGCTCTAATTTCTCAAATAGGCTAATGACTACAAGAGAAAAAGAACCCTTTAACCAGACCAGCCCTAAAACAATCCTATCAAAAAACATGGCAACCCCTTAGTCAGTCCACCTCCAAGGCCAGCATCTGTCACTTACAAGGGAGACTTCTGCAACACTTTCACTCTTTCCCTTTTATCCCAGAGTCATCTTTTTAAAACGAGCACCTACTTACATTACTTCCTTTCCCCAAAACCTTTATCTCTAACAACATAAAACTCAAAACTATTGGCACTGTACACAGAAGTTTTCTATAACGGATACTCCTTTTACCTTCCTAGCCCTGAGTCCCACAATGCTGTCCTCCACTCTGCTTCCTGCTCACCGAACTCCTTTTCTCCCACATTCTGCCTGCTTGACACACAGCCTTGAGACATTAAGGTATTTCCTTTCTGCACTGCCTTCCCTTTCCTTGCCTCTGCCATATTCCTACTTATCCTTTAGAGCGGTGGTTCTCAACCTTCCCAATGTTACAACCCTTTAACACAGTTCCTCATGTTGTGCTGACCACCACCACCCTTCAACCAATGCTTGAAAACCAATGCTCTAGACAGAACTCAGATGCGTAGGTTTTTGTTTGTTTGTTTTGTTGTTGTTGTTGTTGTTTGAAACCAGGTCTCACTATGTTGCACTGGTGAACCTGGAACTCACTATATTGACCAGGCTAACCTTGAGTTAGTACACCACCAAGCCTAATCCTTAATAGACCAGTCTTCCCACTTCCTTCAATAATTACCACACTAGTTACTTCCACTTCCTTTCCTATCTCAAAGCTTTTTGAGCTGTCCTTGGTATAGCCACACTATTGTTTGCCTCAGTAGCTCCCAAGACCACCCAACTATCTGAGACATATTTTCAAATAAACTAGTAGAAGCCAATCCTGACCTACAAATCAATCTCAAAAATGAAACCTGAAAACATCTCCCTTTTTTCCAAAAGGGTCTTAATTAGCATTGACCTCACCTCCCAATGCTATTGAGACTTAAATTCTGGACCTTGTATATGGTAAGCAAGCACTCTACCAACTGAGCTGCATATTCTACTTTAAAACAGAAATCTGTCAGCTGGGTGTTTGTGGTGCACATCTTTAGTCCCAGCGCCTGGGAGGCAGAGGCAGGAAAATCTCTGTGAGTTCACAGCCAGCCTGGTCTACAGAGCTAGTTCCAGGACAGGCTCCAAAGCAATACAGAGAAACCCTGTCTCTAAAAACAAAAACAAAACAAAATCTGTCCTGAGCTGTGCAGTGGTGGTGCAGGCCTTTAATCCCAGCACTTGTGAGGCAGAGGCAGGTCCAACCAAGGTCAGCCTCACTACAGAGTGAGTTCCAGGACAGCCAGGACTATACAGAGAAAGCCTGTGCCCCCCCCCAAAAAAAAAAAAAAACATTCTTCTGGTTCAGCAGAATAGTTCATTGAGAAAAACATTTGCTATACAAGCCTGATGACCTGAGTTTGATCCCTGGAACCCACAGAGTAGGAGGAAACACTCCTGAGGGTTACCTTCTCACCTCCAACTCAAATCATGGCATACACACACATATTAACAAATCTAAAAGTTTCTCCTGTGCCCATCATGTTGGCATGTACCTATAACTCCAGCTCCTATGAGGCAGAGACAGGAAGATACAATTAAATGTGATGTCAGTCTAAGTTTACATAGTGTATTCCAAAGCTATATAGCAAGATAATGTCTCAAAACAAAAAAGATTAAAAGCTCTTGTAACTATGCCAATGGACAAGTTTTGGGATCATGGGTCAGTCTGTCTCTTAATGATGTAAAGCTATTTTTAAAAGAATAAATTTACTTACTCTAGAATACTTGCTTTTGGTTTCATATTATATCCTTGTTGACGTCTAGTCTAAAGTCTGAATTCATGAGTTCACACACACAAAGTACACTCACTGTTCAAAAGAGTGTTTCATCTTTTCTAAAACCTGGAAAATTAAGCCTTGGAAAAAACCTGTGATACACAAGGCTGAATCTCATCAAATTTGCCCCCCTCCAGAAAAAAAAAAAAAGTTTGTTTCGGATGAGAACCAGTTGCCAGTTGCCAACCCTGAGTGAACATACACGGCCTTCACCTGTTTTAATAAGATCTCACAGATACAGGAGAAGCACCGCACTTAAGAGTACAATGATGGATGGCTAGATTGTGTTCTGTAACTTTGAAGGGGAAAAAAAAACCTCTTGCTTTTCTCCCCATTCCTCCCTTCAGACAAGTTCACTACAACTGTTAGAGAGAAGCAGAAAATTCAACAAGATTACGATTCTCACACAACCAAGAAAACCAGTGTCTGGGGAACCATCAGTTTCGGGTATCCCGAAAGTTTACCTGGTCACATATCTAACTTTAGGCCCAATGCCTACCTCTCCGGTGCACTGACTCTTACATATTTTTTCCTCTTTTGAAGTTGCAGCCCGGAGCCATGTCTCAAAACTCGAGTCTTCTACTTTAAAGTCATGTCCTCATCGGGCTTCGACCCTTCAAATACGCTCACCTCTACTTTTTCTTCGCTAAAGAAAAGTACGCTCTTGAAAGGAAGGACAGTGACAGCTCCACGTCCGCAAAAGTCGGCGGCTCGGGCCTGGGCCGGGACCACCATGAGTGGGGACAATGGAGGGAGGAGGGGAGTGAAAGACTAGGAAGGGGAGCAGCCACGGGAGAAGGTCCTCCGCGAGTGGGAGCTTGGAAAAGTCTCGGGGGAGCCTGCCAGGTGGCAGGTGGGCCCGGCCGCCGCCCCTCAAAGGGCCACGTCGCTCGGGCGGGCCGCTGCCACCGGGCCCCGCGCGTAGGCCGAGCCGCGGGAGAGGAGCCCCCCGGCGCGACAGCGGGGCTCGGGGCTGGACCCTGCCCACGTCCGCCTCGGCTCGGCTCTCTTCCAACTTGGGTTCGCGGGGCCCCCGGCTGTGGCGCCTAGGCCAGACACTAGCCGCTCGGCTCGTCCCACTGACCCACCCTCCGCCCGGCTCGGGCCACCAGTCGCAGCTCCGGGCGCCCCCCACGGACACCGGCTGCGGGAAGAGCAGCCTCGGCTCTGGGTCCCGACTAACGCGCCGCACTCCTCTACCCCTCGCACTCTCCATGCCTTTCCCCATGCCAAGCTCCCTCCTAACCACAGAACTGCCCCCAGTCCGCCCGCGGGTGTTTACCGGGACTCGGGGCGGCGACGACTCCTCAGTCCCTCCACTAAGATGGCAGCCGGTCCCGAGCCCCGACTACAGCGACTAGAGCGAGTTCGCACCCAGTGCGCAGGCGCGCCCCCTAAGGCGCACTCGGGACTACAGGCCCCAGCAGGCCTTGCGCGCCAGCCTGCTAAATCATTTTCCTCACCTCCAGGTGAAGAGGACCCAGTCTTGTTCTCTACATCTCCAAGGCTTTTTTTGTTTTCTTTCATCTTTTTCTCCCCTTCTTCCTTTTTTCCATTCCTTACTTTCTTCCCTTTTTTTTAAACACTTCTCCTCACCACCCACCCCCTACCCTATCCCACTCTCCACCCCTGCCAAAACCTCTAAAGACTGTTACCAAACTCTAGCGTGCCTTAGAATTCCTTGAACAGCTTTTAAAAACAGACTTTTGAGCCCCCACCGCCAGCTTCTGACTCAGTAGATCTGGGATGGGGTGGGGAGTGTTTTATAATTTGCATTTCTAACAAGTTCTCCAGTGATACTACTGACAGCAGGGATCACAATTTGAGAACCACTGAGCCAGTTCGATCCTTCTGGAATTACACTGATTGGGTTCAAATTCTCTTTTCTACACCTTTTTGACAGGGCGTTCTTAGGAGGGTGACAGCTTGACAGAGCCAACGCGGCAGGAGTTCTAAAATATGAAAAACATACTTCTTGATCCTTACCACAAAACTATGAGAAAAATGCCATTTGTTATCTTTTTCAGATGCTTAAATTAAGCTGCATGTAGGATAAGTGCATCTAAGCCTATCCTCAACCTCCCTCGGAAGTGTTTGTGAGAATTAATAGGCTGTGCAAACAGAGGCACTACTTAACCGTTTGATAATTATCCATCTTGGCCACTATTGTTTAGCCTGTTTCCTTGTAAGGAACCCATCTAGGAAGTCACTTACACTTTTTGAAGTACCTCTGAAGCTACTGTATTCTGCATTATGTGCTAGGAGAGTTTATTTAGTGTGTGTGTGTGTGTGTGTGTGTGTGTGTGTGTGTGTATGTGTGCTGGGAAGAGCATTTGCCATTCAAACACAAGGATGTGAATTGAATCCCCAGGGTCCATGTACAAGCTGGCATAAACCACCCTGCAGCATTGGGGCCAGAGGCAGGAGCTCCCTAGTCAGCCAGCCAAGACCACACAGCAAGCTTTCAGGTTCAGTGAGAAGATAAAGACAGCTGGATCTCCAGAAGTTCACGGTTATCCAGGTCTAAATAGAGAGTTCTTGGGGTTGCACAGTGAACTCTGGGTTTTAGGGTATTTGGTTTGGTTTTGAGGTATTTAAAAGTTCGTCTGCACTTCCAACCCATGTTTACCCTGTTAGGAATTATGCTGTAAGGGTAAGGATGTCACTCACTGGTAGAGCACTTGCCTAGCACTGGTGAGGCCCAAGATTCTATTCCCAGTATTGAGAGGGTAGTGTGCTCTAGGGGAGTCTAGGTAATTCTTGTCACCAGGTATACTATAAAATATTAAGGGTTTTTGAGCATATGGGGTGTGGGGGGCAGTGAATGGAGAGGGAACTAGGAGAAAGAGAAGGTGGGAGAGGAGAAGAGGAAAGCACGTGGAACTAGGAAGATTGAGTCGGGAATAGACGAGAGGGGTAGAGAGAGAGAGAGAGAGAGAGAGAATAAAAGAGGAAGCCATTATAGGTTTGAAGAGAAAACTGAACCTAGAGAAATGTCCAGAGACCTACAAGATTGACCCCAACCAACAATTTGAGTAACAGTGGAAAGGCTACCATAAATGCCCTTCCCTGATAATGAGATGGACAACTAATTTATCCACCATCATGAAGCCCTCATCTAGTAGCTGATGGAAACAGAAGCAAACACCCACAACTAAACACTGAGCAGAACTGGAATCCAGATGCAGAGAGGGAGGACAAGACCAGGCTACAGAAACACATAGAGACAGCTGACCTGAACAAGGAGGAAAAAATGGACCCCCAGACAGATAGATGGGATTCCAGCATGGGACTGACTCGGATCCCCTGAATATGGGTCTCAGTTAAAAGGCCTGGGCAGTCTAAGGGACCTCGGACAGTGGAACCAGGATGTATCCCTGGTGCACAAAAGGACTTTGGGAGCACATCCCCCATGGAGAGATACTCCCTTAACCTAGACACAGGAGAGAAGGCCTAGTCCCTACTCCAAATGACTTGACAGATTTAGATGACCCCTCCTGGAAGGCATGTGGAGTGGAGGGGGGTGGGAGAGTGGGAGGGAGGGAGGGAGAGGGAACTGGGATGGATATGCAAAATAAAAAATGGGAAAAATTAAGGGTTTTATTACTTTATACAGAGGGGGGAAAACCGAGTATGAAGGAAATTACCAACTGGCCCAAGACCACTAAGGAATGAGAAAAGTCATCTCCTTCCAGATTCTTTATCTATCTTTTGTTTGGGGACAAATTTTCACTATGTAACCTCAAACCCAGTCTTCTTCATCTTCAACCTTTCCAGTTCTGGGATTGATTACAAGCATGTATTATTACCACACTCAACTTGTCTGCATGCTTATTTTAAATTCTGTTTTACTTATTATTAGTAGTATGGAGATCAGAGGACAACTTTCTAGAACTGGCTCTCTCCTCCCATTGTGGGATCCAGGTATCAAGCAAGGATGGAACTCAAGGAGTCAGATTTGTAGATTATTTGGCCAGCCCCACAATTTTAAAATTCTATAATAGTGGGTAAAACTAAGCTGTTAGAAATCAAAAACTATACTCCAAACCTCCCCCAAGAATGTCCTTTTTAAAAATTATTGTTCTGGGGATTTTGGTAAAACATGGGCATGCTAGGTATGTGTTGTGTCCCTGAGCTGTACCCAACCCCTAGAAGCTCTTAGAAAGTTCTAGGATGAGGCCAAGAATGGGCATTTCTAACACATTTTCAGGTGAGGCTGACTCCAAGGAGTCATATTTTGTGACCATTGAACTGTGCTGACCTAAGCTTCTTGCCAGTGTCAACAGAGCAAACTAACCCTGATTTATGAGGCAGGAACTGACAAGAATTGATAATGTGGACTTCAGAGAAACATAAAAATTCAGTCCTTCTATCAATAACTTGCTGTTACTGAGCCCATGTCCAACTGCTTGCCACTGGCCAGCCCTCCTCTAGAGGTGGGAGACCAAGTAAGAAGGAAGCCAGTTTTATTCAGATACTGGCATCCTAAGGAGATGAGGCCTATTGCCTCAGAACCCCATCTCAGGAAACTTGAGGGCACAAATTGAGTGTGTGTGTGTGTGTGTGTGTGTGTGTGTGTATGTGTGTAGTAGTAGTAGTAGTAGTAGGTGTGTATACGCACCTGTCTGTCTGCCTGTGTGTCTTTGGGGAAGGGGACACAGAGGGCAGAGGTTGATGCCAAGTATTTTCCTTAATCACTACTTTCTGAGACAGGGTCACTTACTAAACCAAAAGCTCACTGATTCAGCTAGTCTACCCCAGGATTCTCCCCTCTCTGCCTCCCCAGTGCTGAGATTACAGGTATGTGCCACCAAGGCCTGTTTTTCACATGGGTGCTGGGAATTATAACCTCACACTTGCACAGTAAAGTGTTCTACCTACTAAACGATCTCCCCAGCCTAACAAAGGGCTTTTACAAGAAGGGGAAAGAGGGAAGATGGCAAAGGGCAGACCTCCTAAAATATACTATTTCCTACAGGTTAAACATCACATCAACTTTTATGTTTTATATTATCTGATGCCCAGAATCAAAGAATATGAAGTGGCAGCACACATTCTGATCTTATATGCAGGTCAAGGTTCTGTAAAATCTAAAGTAAGGTTACTTAACAGTTATCATCTTAATCATCTAAGTAAAAACTGGGAATTTAGAATGAGAATTTAGAATACCCAGCAAAGGGAGGGGAATGTAAAATAACTGAGCCAAGGGAGACACTCAAGTGAGCAGCCAACGTCACTTTGCTTTCAAAGTCACAGACACGGTCATCTGAGCCCCCACAACCAAACTGACATGTGAAAATAGTAGATCCTGTAACAGAGATGTGAGTGTCAGAGCCAAGGCCTGACAGTGCTGACAAGCTAGGCTGGCCCCAAAAGGCCAATGAAAGAGACAAAGTAATGTTGACAAGCAGAAAAAGGAGATTTGATGCACCGAGAAGAGCAGCAAAGATGTCCAGTGAACCCCTCAAGTCCAATGTTAGGGTCCTGACACAAGGCTTAGGTTTAAATAGACAGCAAGGGTATGCATAGCTAAATGGTCGTAGATAAAGTGAACTTGGTCATTGTCTGGATTCCAGTCTCTCTTGAAAGTTAAATTGTCAGAACTTTGTGGCATCTTTTTGGGATAAAGTTCTCCTCTGCCTGGCTCCAAGACCTTTCCCTTCACCAGAACGAAGCTCCTGGGAAGATTCTAATTTCTTGGGGTCTTTGTCCCAATAGTTTGATAGCTGAAAGGACAGGTACAAGTATCTCTTTTGATGTTTTCATTCCTGCCAGGATGGTTACAAGCCCACCTCCCAGGATGTTGTGAAGATCCAGGCAGACATAAAATAGGTACTTGGTGATTCTCCAAGAAGCTGTATTGGTCAAGGCAGCAAATCACACCTAGGCCATTTCCTCATTCTTTCACGCTGTGTGGTTCTGGCTCTCAGTTTTCTTGAGTCAGAACTACCCTAGTCTTGGCCTGACTGAAAAAATTAAAATGCAGAAACAGTGGTTAGTAAAACCTCAAACCACTTTCATTTTCCTTCTGTCTAGGACATCAGGTCAGCCAGGAACAAAAGCCCTTGCTACAGCAAAGTCTTGAAGTCTGAAAGAGCTGGCTATAAGCAAAGGAAGGTGGTACCCAGATGCACATGTCAGTAATACCTGCACTTTGAAGATGGAGGCAAGAGGATCAAGAACTTAAGGTCACCGTTGGCTACATAGTGAGCTTGAGGACAGCTTGAGGAGCATAAGACCCTGTCTCAAAGAACAGAAGGGGGAGAAGCTAAAGGAGGGTGAGGAGAAAAGAGGAGGAGGAGAAAGGGGGAGCAGAGAGAAGGAGCCCATTTCAGAAAGGAGTTGAGAAAGACACCTCCCTGGCCCATATGCCACCTGTCCCTTACTG